CATCTAAAGTCAGCTTTCTAGTCATTGTTGACTTCATTCTGCTCTGCCTGCATCTCTTGCATGCAAGACATGGGCTCAGAGATAAGCTCCAACAAAAATGAATTTGCCCTTATAATTCAGACTTCTGCCAGATCTTGCACTTTTCTTTGACGTGGGTCATGACACCTACTTGCTTTGACAAGGAGACCAGCATGTTTAATAGAAGAGTTTGAATATTTACTACAACAATCATGAATCAAAATTCACTTTTAAACTCACTGACTTAGGTGACAATTCATCTGCCCTACAGTGYTTCTTCTTTTGTGCATTTATGATACTTGTTCATAAAAGAACTCATTTTCTCAGTCCCATAAATGATGAATCTGTAAGTCAGTTATTTATTTTGTGTTGTATTTTTTTATAGCCTTCTGAAAGGAATAGCAAAACAATCTCCCGAAAGCTACATGAATAATGACTTGTCATGGATGACGAGTAGTGTAGCATGAAAAGATACTACTATTGACAAGTATGAGAATTAAAAATTTAAATTTAAGCTTAAAAATGAAGTTATTTAAAAAAAAAAGTTATAGTCATTCTGGATTTTCTACCCTTAAARCTTGTGTCCTCAGACTCAGTATATATTTATTTACATATATGCAGCAATGTAATGGCTCAGAATAATACTTCTTTTAAAAAAGAAAAGGTCTTAGTTATATTCTAGATTTGTATTAGTCAAGGGGCACAGGAGCATTATTAAGCAGCACTAACCTTAAGTAGAACGWCCATGCTGGCCTCTCTAAATGCAATCACTGTCATGTTACTGTCTCAACACAGCACTTCAGATAACAGAATGCTAAGATATATGTTTTTAAATTCATATAATAAAATGATTGTTCTGTTTTTGTAAAGTAAAACTAAGCAAGCCTAGTACAGTAGTTCATTGTGCACAGTGAAATAATTTCTCCCTATGCTCATTCCAAACTGAAGAGATGTTCTGTAGGAGTCTTATGCACTTATATTTAATATCCTAATTTAATATCCTTATATTTAATATCCTATATTTAATATCCWAAAAATAAACAAACAAAAATAATTACAATAATGTTCAGCTTAAAAAAAGAGAATTCCAGAAATATTATAATTGTTAAAAAGTGCTAAAAGGGGCAGACAAGAGAGCTACCTTGCATGTCTCATGGTGAATATTGAAGAAAACCAAACTGCAAGTGCCTATCTAGTAAAAAACTCTTCAGGAAGGACATAAGAAARCCAATGTTTTAAACATTAGGATAAGGTCAGTTATTAAAAGTGGGAAATCCTCCTTCAAAAAGTTAATGTCATGTATTACAGCAAAACACAGAGTTTTCTTTCAGATGCTTGCAGGTTAAATGTAAAATACAGTAAAATGAGCTCAAAAGAGGTAGAGAAACAACTTGTGAAAACAAAACCCACACAATTCCTTTTCAAGTGCAACAAAGGAGAGCTGCCAAGAGGTATATACAACTAGTAGATGAACTAGCATATAAAAGGAGCATGTAGAGGTGGTAAAACCATAATCCCAAACTAAATGATGTAAAAAGCTTGGGGAGATTCTCACACTAATATTTCCTTGTGGACAGATAAATTCAACTTGATAAAAATCACCAGTCAGAATCTTATTTACTTGTTGATTGGTATAGCAGAACTGGTGATTGTGGTGTACTTCCCAATTAACTTCTTTCTTGTACCAGAGAAATAATTAATATTATGCTAATATTTAACAGAGATGCTAAGGAAAAGGTAAGGAATTTCAGATTTGGACMATATAGATTGTAGAATCCAAAATTAAAGACTGACAGCTGTAGTTGGTACATTTAGTTCAAATTACTAAGAAGAATAAAATTAATGTATGCATGCTCTTTGGAAGAAGAATCAAAACAGCTTTTTTGAAAGACAGATGTTCCTTTTATGTTTTGGAGGTCTCCTGAAGCGTCAACAGAATTTCAGATACAGTTTACTTAGATTTTCAATCTGCCTTTAGCACAGCCTTCAGCAGAGGCCCTCAGATTATGCAAAACCACAGAGTAGAAAGATAGCACTTTTTCACACATCCAGAAGTAAGCTTCCAGAAATCATTGCTAGGAAATTGGGGAGGCACACAGGATTATACAAACTTAGGGTCCATAGGCCTGTAAACAGGCACCAAATGAAATAGTCTTCTTACAAATGTACTCTGATATGACAAACATAGATGCCAGAGGAAACTACAGAAGTTAGATCATAATATGTAGCCAGGCTCATGTGTTCTCTCTAAATATAATCTACTGTCACCGATGAACACAGTATGCTGGGCCAAATGGACCACCATGGCAGTGAATACAGTGACAAATACATGCACACAAATCTTAGGCCTCTCCCTGGTCTAAAGAAAGGTGTAGCAAAAAGCCTCTAATGTATCCATCTGTTCTGGAAATCAAAATCCACAGGCACAAGGAACAGACCTTACTGAGCTGACAGTTCCTTACACTGGTAAATTAGCAGCCCTCATGAACAACCCTATCACATTTACCTATTCTTTCTCTTATTCCTTGAATTTTGAAGAGGACACCAGAAGTTTACACCAAATATGTTATACAAAACCCACACTGCACTTCAAGCAGTTTATGACCTTACACTGATGTTCACTGATGAATCAACCGAGTGTGAAAACATCACTGGCATGCTTTCTTCTCTGTTGAGAGTGGGGGGATCTGAATGGTTTGGACCTTTCTCAGCAAAGATATGCATAATCCAGGATGTCCTGGTTCCAGCCAGGACAGGGTTAATTATGCTATAGCCAGGAGGCATGGCCAGGACCCTAAGGTTATTTTATACCACCTCAGCCATTGATGGGAGCAGGGAAAAGGGAATCTCTTCTGGGAAGAAGTAGTTCCTTCCAGTCAAGAAAATGTGATGGAGGGAGCCATCTGGTATTGTCTATTAGGTTTTTTTTTCCATGGATTGTTTCTTTTTTATATTCTATGTAATTAGTATTATTGCTATTCCAGTAAACTGGTTGTGTCTTAACCCGTGATCTTTACCTTTTCTGGGTCCAACTGACCTCTCTAGCCCACTGCAGGGGGAGCGAGAGGGCAGTGAGCAAGCAGTGTATGGTTTGGGTTTTTACAATGGGAACACTAAATTTTGAAACACCATTCCTAAACCATGACACAGAAACCTTGGCATATATGCCTGCTTACCTGTTTTCTGTAACAGTCTTTAGTTTTTATATAAAGCAAGCCTCAGCTTGACRAGGATGAAAAAACTATGTCTTAATCATTGGCATAAGCTTTATTTCATATGCATACRTGAAAGAGAATATTTGTGTAATGCTGCAGCTGACAATGTAGCTGTGTGTAGACAGTTGTCTGAAGCACTGGAAGCATCTGCTTCCTTCTGTTACAACCTAGCAAGTGCTCTTAGCTGACTGGCTACTTTCTCAGTTGGTATACACACAGCCTGGTCTTTAGAACCAGTGGTTGTGCCTGGTATGCAGGCCTCTCAGGCACTGGCCTACGCATCCATTGGAACATTGTGTTAGCAGCAAATCAGATGTGCTCACATTCAGCACAGATGTAAATATAATTCTCATATATGTACCAGTCACATCCAGAACACACGCATTACCCCTTCATCCTCTCTACGAGGGCCAGAGAGAAATTACTAGGGTGGGAAATTTGCTCTTAAATGAATTATATTGATTCTATGGAGCAGTAAGTCTACTGCCAGGTGCAAAACTGAGAGAAAAACCCTCAGAGAACACAGGAAAATTCAAGGCCTGTCTCCCAGAGACCCCGTAAGCAGAAGACTGACCAGAAGGTCTGACTCACCCTGCATTTAAACCTGTCAACACAACCTGACTATGCTGTGGTTTGCAAAAGAAAGGCCAGGACAATGGTCATGTATTGAAAGCTAGGAAAAGTCTTATTTATTTACTAATTATTCACTAATGCCTCAGTTTGCAGTGAAATAAAATATATCATTACATTCCTGCACTGTGTCTCACCTGCCTTCAGTTCAGATGAGTTTAATGCCTCTTAAGCATGACCTCAAAGACACAACTGTCAGTAGCCATTGGCTGGAATGCTGGTGGACGCTGCCAGTGTGGGTRGCCTGGCTTACATTTTAAGTGTGTTGTGATCATATGGCATTTAAGCATACCTGCTGCATTGTGAGGAAACCAAACAGTCCTGAAGGACAGGAATGAAGGCAAGCAGTATGGATTGCCAGCCACGCCTTGTTACTGTGCTCAAAGGCCAATGGTCACAGCCTGCAGTGGATCCCAGAGGCAATAYAGGCACACATGTATTAAAAGCCCCAACCCAGTGTATTTTCCTTGGGCTGGAGTGCTCACCTATAGGTGATTTGCAGTCAAATATTTCGATCATCGTTGGCCTATTGCGAGTTCTGCCCAAGTTTCCGAGGTCCAGGAGACATTTCCTKTAATCACTCCCAGCACCTTTTATCCCTTTTCTCTCTGCAAGGCTAGTCAGGGTCGCAGTCCGTAACATTTGGTCCTTTTTACTGCACACAAGGGTAATGGGTACATTTGAGAACACGGAGATGCGTGGCTGAAAGAAATAAGAAAAAGTCAAGAAACAGGGAGATGCCTCCTTGTAACCAACAGCTGCTCTCCGTAGCTCACACGCCTTTTCCAGCCCATCAGCCGGGTGCCGTCTGCTCGGAAGCGGAACAGACTCGCCGGCTTTACCAGGGCAACGGCTTTTGTTTCTACTCTTCGCAATCGTTTAGCTGACATGTTTCTAAACACCAATGTATATTCTGTAAAAATTTAGCGTTTCACAAAACAAACACCAGGGCACTGGCGGAACCTGATGCTGCGGCCAGCCCGGCCCGCAGCCACCCGCGCCCGCCGCAGGCCCAGCGGCCTCCCCACAAGGCGGRGCCTGCCCGTCTCTCACCGCGCTGCTCCGCGCTGTCACCCCAAAGCCTCTCGGGAGTTGAAGTCCTACACGCTGCGTTTCCCATTGCGGACCCGAGGCTCATGGACTCCGTGTCCCATGGAGCGCTGCGGGGGGCTCGGTGCCCGGCCCGCGGCCCCGGCAGCTGGCGGCAGGGCGGCTAGTTCAAGTTGCCATAGCGGCGAGGTGAGGCAGGCGGAAGGTGTTGGAGGACCGGGCGGCTTCGCCTCGGAGCGCTGTGCGGTGAGGGCTGAAGGTGCGGGAAGGGCAGAGCCGGGGCCGCGGCCAGGGCGGCGTGCGGGAGGCGGCTGTCCGGCTTCGGAGCGCCGCGGGAGGGCGGGCGCGGATGGGAGCGGCGGGGAGRGGCGGCCGCGGGGCTCCTAGGGACAGTCCGGAGGCCCGGCCGGCGGCGGAYCCGGCGTCGTTCTGGCTTCTCCCGCAGCCCCAGAGTTTCCACCGTCCTCTCTGGGCCAAACATCCAGGAGACTCTTAGAGCTGGAGTCAGCTGTTGGGTTCCCTAAGTGCCCGGCGGGAGGGGGAATTTTAGAGGGCATTGCTTGCTTAGGAACAGTGTGAAGGAACCGTTTTCTGTGTCGTGCTGCTGAAGAGTGCTGAGAGCATGGTGTGACAAATTGACAATAAAATGATGCCTGAGGGCACCATGGTGAAATGTCACCACGTGGGTTCACCTTCCAGGCTTTTTGAAAACTTTTCCGGGCTCAAATACAATTACTGAAGGAAAGGGCCTTTCAGGTGTCATGTTGGTCCTTTCTGGAATGGCTGYAATTTTATTTTTTCGTCGTGCTCAGTGTTAGCTGAAAGGCTTCGACCATACCTTTAACACTAAGTTAGTTACCTAGTGATAGATTCGTCTGTGTGGAGCTGAACAAATAAAAACACTTGAGAAATAGTCAAGTTGTGTACACTGACTTTATGTTTTGTTTACTTGAGCTGAAGGACTTGATATTGAGATTGTCAGCTCTACTTCTTACACGATAGATGTCTTAAGAAGAGAGTCCTTAGAAACTTAAATGCTGTGTCTTCTACAGGAGAGGCTTTTCATCTGCTCTACAAAGGTTATGATCTGTTTGGGTAGAACTAAAARCCAGTAAGAACCAAGTGATTCTCACTGTCTAATAGGTCATATGATGATGTGCTGAAATTAGTGTAGGTTTTTGGAAAAATTCATATACTTTTTTTGTTTAAATTGATAGGCAAATATGCATATGGAACATTTCTATAAATTTCTGCTTCTTTATGGTTTGGTTTTGTTTTTTTTTAATCTAAAGTGAAACTTCCACAGTTCCTTTAAAAATGAGGATGTTGCATTACATGAAACAACTTCTTCACCTTAAAAGTACTTGTGGTTCCTTTTAGGTTGGTCATGAGAACAAAGAGGAATGCTTAACCATAAATAGTAAGTTTTCTTCAGACAAAATATCCTTCTTTATGTTTACCTTGATTACTGGCATTTCTTCAGTACTTTGGCTAGTAAATGTCCCAATGAGCCTATTTTTGGACAGATGAAAATGAAATCATTATTTTTTCCTGCTGTAAATATTTCCCTTTTCTTTCTCTAGTCTTTGCATTTCAGTAGTTGASGCTCTTATAGTTGAGTCAACTTGATTGTTGGTTTTTGTTGAGTTTTTTTTACCAAATTACAGTAAAAATCAGTATTATTCCATGCTATTATTTCTATCAGAGTTTTATTTTTCTTTGTCTTTGAAAATATCAATTTATATCATACCTTTTGAGGGTTGTTATTTTAATCAGTTACTATGTGACTTTACTAGGCATAGCTTTTTGTTGTTTTTAATAATTCCTTTCCCCATGTCTGACGACAGTTGACGTATTTTCGTTTTAACTTGCCATCCTTGAGACTTAGCAATCCCCGTTCTGAATACAGCTTAGCGAGTAGTGTGTGAGGTAAAGGAAGATGGTTCTGCACACCRGAATGATTGATAAAGCATTGATATCTCCACCGAATGTTTTGGGGGTGAATTTGCTTTGGGCCATGATTTTATCATGGATACTGAACACTTGGAAGTAGTGAGAGTGCATCTTTTGATTTAATTTGCTCCTAAGAGGCTCTCCCTCCTGTGTCTTGACACTGCTTTGTGGTGTGAACATATGTAGTAACTGAGGAGCAGTTGGAAGATCTGCTTCAAAATAACATCCTGCTGACCCAAACCATAAAGGCYAATGCAAATTAGTCTGAGTCTGAAGTTGCTTTGGGAATATTGTACAAGACTATTGAGTTACAGTCAGGAATTAACATATGTTAATTTTTTTAAATTTTTCTGGTCTTCCTGCCTAGACTTCAAGATACTGATGGCAGATTCATCCAGTGATTCAGACAACTTTCTTACGAGTCGAGCAGGAAGGCAGCCTTTGAGAGCATCCCACAGCAGAGCTCAGAACTATGGTGCTGAAGAATTTACAGAGAAGATCCATACTTTAGCAAGCACTTTGCAGGTTGTTTAAAAAATACAGTTTTAAAGTATTTATAGAATCTGTAACACAAGGTTAAATTTTCGTTTCTTATGTTGTGGAGTATACAAGGATGGGAAACACTACTTTTTGTGCAAAGCAAAAAGGGTTTTGGTAAATTGATCATACTGCATTTGAGCTTGAAAATGTGTGGCTTGTTGCACTTTTATACAGCCACTATTTCAGACAGTAATAGAATATTSTTAGGAAAATGATGTGTTGGGAAATACTATTTATAAAGTTAGCAAACTGAATAAGCCCTATTAAACTTGGTCAGATTCTCACAAGAGGCATTAAATTTTCTAGCAGAAGGTTTCATCCCTGAATTGATTGTCTTGGTACTGTGTAAAATTTCCAAATTTCTGATAAATATGTAGGCAMTCAATTCCTTCAGGACAGCTTACATTTAAAATAATTTCTAGATGTTGAATAGTACAGTGAGAATCATTATTTCTAAACTTGTAAGAGATACATACCTGAGCAAGAAAAAGTGTTCACCTCMTCTCTGCTTCTTTAGTAGAGGGTGCAGAGGGAAAATCTGAATTTGTTTTGCTGGTGGGAGGAGACATTTAGCTATCCTAACACCGCTAGTGCATGAGAATTCATTGACATTCTTCTCTAGCTTACAGTTCTGAATACTTAGAGTGTGTGGGTGTATGTTTTATTAGTTATTGTTTGGCTGGCAATTTTTTTTCTTTTTAATATGTGAGAAGAGAAAAATCAATATKGAATGGTAAATCTAAACTTTAAAACTTCTTATCTGGAAAATAAACATCAATCTAGAAAAAAAGAAAAGTTAGTAACAATATAGTCTGACAGTTTTTTAAAAAGGATTCTTCGGTATTCTGATTCTGTCTAACCTCTTTCTAGATCTTCTTCTGAAATTCTGATTTTAAGCTAAATGCTTTTTGTGGACTGCTTTTCAGCAGATCATCCATTTGATTCAGGTGTTCATCTGGTCAGACAATACTCATGCACTGACCTGACATAGTGTGTTCACCTTCAAAAATACTGTTATTTCTCAGTTAACTATTTTGTTCTACAAGCAGGTAATGTTAAGGTCTTTGGATTAACAATGTTTTTCTACAGATTAGGTGAAACTTGGGAAACTGAAGCTGAGGCCTTACTCTTGTACTGAAATGGTCGCATTTGGGTTTGCCTTTTTTTCTTTTTTTTGACTGTTCTTCCCTTTAGCCATGCTGTACCACTTCAGATTCTGGTTACTTGAACATGATTTTTAATACGTAGACTCTTTAGAAAGAACTTGTGTTTTCTATTTAATCTTAGAAATGAAGAAGAATAAAGACAACAATAATGTTTGATTAGAGAAGGTTTCTGTTTTGACTTTTTTTCTAAAACTTTTTTATTTAAGGATACCAACAGAAATTTAAGACGTGTTGACCATTTGCTAGGACAATACAGAGACTACAACAAGGAACAAACCAAAGCAATAACAACTGTGAGCAACTTTCAGTTTTTCTTAACTTCTTAGGTATTTTCTGTTAATAGAATTCATAGCTGTAAGCTTGGTATTAATGGACAGAATATATAAGTAGTTAAATAGCTGTAAACAGAAGCTTTTCATATTTATTTGAGCAATCTGAATCATAATATAGTAATGTGTTACACAATGAAACTTTGACAGGTTTTGTAGGCTTCATTACTTTTCTGATTTATAAGCACCCAGTATATTGTTGTTATGATACTATGCCAAGTACAAGATGTGTGGCTGAAACAGAGTGTTAGTGAAAGTGTTTATTTTGCATGAATAAATGACAAGATAAAAGCTGAATGTTAGTAGAGATTGGGATTGTGATCATACTGGTGTAGTTTATTTTCCAGTCACTCTACAACAGTTTCTGTATCTGTTGACCAGCTTGTTCTATATTGCAGAAAGGGTGGAAATTCTAACAAACATGAGTCTTCTGCAAGTTTGAAAACAGGTGTCTTAGAGAAAGCAAAACAAATTAGTGGTGCTAGGGCAAGAGAGGTTTACAATTTGGTTACAAACAAGCTGCAATAGGTGCTGCCTTGAAACAGATATGTATGAAATGTAGGAATATTTTACTTGTGAAGGTAGAGGGAGGGCAAAAAAGCAAATATATAGCAAAGAAAGTTCTTGTTTTCTTCAGAGAAAGAGATCCTTCACAGTGTATAAACCTGCAAGAGTAAAGCRTCAATTTAACCATTGTGTACAAGCTTCTTTTGCAAGAGTGAAGCATCAATTTMACTATTGTGTACAAGCTTCTCTTACAAAAAAGAGAACCTTTAGAGATTGATGTTTTCTGGATTGTCAAATAAAAGTGTGACAAAGCAAGTGGCTAAGAACCAAATTTAGCAAATGCAATTGTAGAAAATGAGATGCAAGTTTGAAAAATGAAGAACTAATTTTTGAATATAGCTAATTCTGTACTCTTAAATTGGGAATGGCTTCTTTTTCCTGGAATTGAAACTTCTGAAAATAGAGTTTGCTGTAAAGCTGCTTAGGGAAATTTGATAGCCATATGTAAAATTAATTCCAGGTAGGGCTGGTAGAAAAATTCCAGTAAAAAATAGTTASTTGGAAGTTATTTTCTGGATATTGCGGAGCTGTTATTGAACATTGCTGGCAAATAGATCTTATTTTGGTTGTAGGAGGCAAACTTTTGAGTTTTCAGGGTGGTGTACCATGTGGTGCACCACTGTTTTAAGAAACTTGATATTTGAAGCTGCCAGTGGTGGAAGCATGTTTTGCTATAATTCCAGGCATGTGACATATGAGATATTGAAGAAAAGCTGTTATTAATTCATAGCTGTACTTGGCTTAAAAATAGTTTTTATTCTCTTAATGATTTCTAAATACATAATATTTTCCATGCTTTTTAGAAAATAAATCTATGTTCATATTTTAATAAATGATAACTTTTCTGCAGTTAAAAGAAACACTGGAACAATCTATAGGTCAATTAAGGAGTCAGCGACTAACACGAAACTTTGGAATGAGAAGTGCATCTCTCTCAAGCTTATGTCCCAGTGACCTGGATGGAGAAGGAATTTCAGGTAAAACACTTACAGGGCTTTGAGTATGCTTTAATTATGTCATATGTGTTATGCAAAGAGGAAATGAAGAAAAATGTATACAGATAATGGCATGGAGAGTCATTGATTACTTCAGAGAAAGTTAAAAATCYGGGAAACCTGCATTAAGTTATGCAGTTGTTTATGTGATGAATTTTTCCAGCTTTCTGTTACATAGTATTTTCTGCTGATATCCCACGAGACCTAAATGAAGTGTTGGTTCTTTCAGCTGAGAAAATTAATTTTCCACTGCATGAGTTGTAGGTATGTACAAGTTAAAGCTAAGTCCAAAAGATATTGCAGCTTCTGAAGCTTGCTGCACAGCAAAAAGGGAATTAAAATTTTAAATCCATGAGATTCTTGATGTTTGGAAACAGTGAAAAAGACAAAGCCGGAACCAATTTATGACCCACAGAAAAGAGTAGGGTTTTTTCCTTGTATGTCTCAGAAAATTCATTCTATTTTTTGGAAAAGGTATGTTTGTGAGGAATATTCCTTCCAGAGCTAGTATTTAATATATTTAAATAGAAAGCTCTAAAAATTTCATTTCTGTGTAAAAGCTCTAAAGTACAATAGTTTGAAGCTCTGATAGATTCACGTGGAGGAGAAACTGATTGCTTGGGCAAATAAAATTTGAGGAAAAACTRCTTACTCCCTGGAGGAATTTCTAGAATACATGTATGTCATGGGTAAGAAATGTTTAAATTGAATAAGAATCCTGAGAAGAGCTAGGAGAGTCATATGCATGTTATGTCATTTAGTAGTTGTTTTGTGAGCTAGAAGAGTGTTGTTAAGATGAAACATGTATTTTTCTTGAAGCAAAATGAAAAATTTCCCAATCTCCTATCTCCTATAGGGAACCGCCACTTCCTGCCCACTTCTCCTCTCAGGACTTATGGAGACTCCCAGGGCAATAAACATCGAAGGWCTAGATCTGCAAATGTTCGATTTGTCAATGAGGCGGATAATGTGGACCAGGTACAGAACGCTAATGGCAGTTGCTTTCCCAAACAGGCAATACATGATCACCAGACTCTTTGCTTTTACATTAAATGAGGTGATTCTGAAGATGCAGCTAAAAATGTTTCAGCAATGAAGTGTGCTTTCAGTATTATCTGCTATTTTTCATGAGACAGTCACCTCTTGTATCTGTCATGAATTTTCACACAAATCATTATAGAGAAAAAGATGCAGATGGTAGTGATATCAAAAGTAAAATATGAAAATAATCTCCCTATTTTTTAGGCCATCTATGACAAAAATAATCTCTGAATATCTGGTTTAGTCTGGAGAAGACTGAGAGGGGATTCCATTAATGCCTATTAATATCCCAGACATGGGTGTCAAGACTCTTTTCAGTGGTGCCCAGAGACAGAACAAGGARCAGTGGCCATAAACTAAAGCACCAGAAGTTCCACCTTGACGTGAGGAGGAATTTCTTTACAATGAATGTGGCAGAGCACTCGCACRGGTTGCCCAGGGAGGTTGTGGAGTCTTCCTCTCTGGAGACATTCAAAACCCACCTGGACAAGTTCCTGTGTCACCTGCCCTAGGTGACCCTGTCTTGCAGGGGGTTGGAGTGGATGGTCTCCAGAGGTCCCTTCCAAACCTAACACTTCCATGATTAACATTCACCTTCATGCTAAAGTCCAGTGAGGCTATGAAAATTATTATTCTACTTTAGTTAGTGGCACAGGGTCTTAGTGCTTTTGCTTTTACCTCATTGTAGCTTGGATTGATTTTGAGCCAGCTAGTTCTTCATCCTAGTTCTCGGTCTGACCTGTTGGTGGCATAATTTGATCCGGTACTTTAGGCAGATGATGAGAAGGAGAAGATGATGTATGTGCCACTGATAATTTTCATACTCCTTAACTTGTGTCTGCTTGCAGGCTTCAGCAAAAGTAAATTAATTACCTTAATGCATAAGATTATAGTATTTCTGTTATCCTGCAGGTAAAGAGGAGATTTCACTACCTGTTTTGGCTCTTTCAGACAGGGTAGCTAGACTTGCTTGAGTGAATCCCTCTGTGCAGACTAATATTAAAGATGCTGATTGTAAGWTGTTCATATTGACTTTATTTAATCAGTCTCAGCTTCCAAATAATTTTAAACATAACTACAATACATTTTCTCAGTTGACTTTTTGGGAATCTATAGAAATTCCTCGACTTTTATTCAATACGGTTTCATTGTCCTTTCAATCTAGTACTCCCTCTATTCTTTCCTCCCTCAAGGCTAGTGTGGAAAATAATCATTGAAAGGAAATAATGCTATATGGAAATCTTTTCTTCTAACAATCCAAAAACCTTAGGACTATTTTAGATTAKTTCTAGATATTCTATAAAAATCTTAGAAATTTTATTAAATGGAATTCCTGCAATGCATACAAAATTCCTCATTTTTATTAAGTAACTATGTAGGTAAATAACTTTTTTTTTCCAGTTTTGATGATAACTGCTGTTTTATTCCTTATTCTTGAATTTTAATGAGTGAATATGGCTCTTTTTTTCATTAACTCTTTTGGAAGTAGAATATAGTGCTTTGAAGAATGATGAACTAAAAGTTGTCATTGATCCTGATCATAGGTATAAATTAGAGCAGTATAAATTAGAGCAGAGAATAAAGCAGTACTGCAAGTTGTGGCTTTTTTTTTCCCTCTAACCCCTGTCTCTTTATTCCCATTCTTACTTTTTCTAGCTAAAGTAATTTTTCAGTTAAATAGTGTTTTAATGCATTTAAGTTCCTCTTTCTTAGCACATACATTTTGAATATATGCTGTACTTTTTCAAAACCTCTCAGGTCAGGTTGAAATTTCTGGTTAATCACACAAAGCAGGTGTTACKGTCTCTGTCTGAATGTTGAGGGCAGTCAGCTTGGTTATGGAAKGTCCAGGTTTAAATCTAGGGCATAGAACAAAGGAATATTATAAATCAGGGTTTTTCATAACAATGATTCTGGCCATGGAACTGTTGACATCAATAGATTGGATTAGGATGGATTAACTGTCACTTTCTATTCCATGAAGAATGAGTGACCTATTAATTTTTTTATTTGCTCCCTAAAACTTTGATGATAAATTGGGAGCCTGCTGATTGGGGGAATTGGGAGGTTTTACAGCGGAGAGTAGGTGTCTATTTTTGTTTTAGTTTTTATTTTTTTCCCAAGCTCTGAAAAATGGGTATGTAAAGTCTTGGGCAAGGTGAAATACCTGTTCTTTGTAGCTCCTGAATGCATCATACCATTCTGCTTGTTCTATTTCAATTTCCTATGTCATCTAGTTATAGTAACATATATAGCTGGGCAGAACTTTGTTTCACCTATACTAGTCACTCTCCTGACTTTACCTGTTTAGATCTTTTAACTTGCATTAGACTAAAAAGGTGCAGTGTCCAAGCTCAGAATCATAGGAAGAAGACATACTTAGGAAACACGGTTTAGAAAATTAGGTACTGAAAATTAAACTTCAAGGAACAAGTACTGTGGAGGGTTGATTGAAATGGGAGTGTGCAAGCCTCATCCAGACATCCAGGCTTAACTACAGTTCATGGAGTTCTATTATTTTGTGGGTTATTTTTATCTGCTTTATTTTAAAATGCAGATCATGTGTAGATATGTATTTTTGGAATATCACAGAAAAGAAGGGCTCCTAAGCCTTGGATTAATGTGTGTGCTTTTATTTACAGCTCCATTCTTTCCACCAGTCTCTTCGAGATCTCAGCAGTGAGCAAGTTCGCCTGGGAGATGACATCAGTCGCGAGCTTTCAAGAAGAAATCGGTATWAAGAGAATAGAACTCCATGTTAAGAACAGTGTGAAAAATAATGCTTCAACTCTTTTATTTAAAAAAATAATTTTGAGGAGAATCGGGGGTTGTGCAACATGTAAATGAAAGCAGTATTATAGAACTGCTATAGAACATAGAACTGCTTGTTCTATGTCATTTTCTGCAATACCTATAAATCTGAATAACACCCATCACTTCCAATTTATATCATATGTAGGGCTTTCCTCAGCTTATTTTAGTGTATGGACAAAATGACAAGGACTTGGGAATTTCTTTAATTACAGCTTTGGTCCTAATTTCTTCTTGTTCCTGGAGTCCCTCAGGGCAAGCTGTCCTGCAGGCTATAATGTATATATTTTCTCAACATGTGGTGCTTTGTTTAATGGCAATAACAGGGATTAGACTGTTAATTCCTTGTAGGAAACTCCTGTACAAAAGGACTGTCCAGATGTGTCGATAATTTTGTACTTCTTGACCTGATATCTAGATACACTGTTTCTTCACTTCAGGAATGGAAATGCTTTTGATCATGAATTTTCCACTTGAGGCTTGTTTCGAATTATGCTATAAATTAGTATGAATAGGCTATGGTCTATTATGAATAGGCTGTGGAAAAMTTGGAGTAGGAAAAAATTCTGAGAGGTTGTTGCTGCTTAAAATTATCATGGTTGTTTCTTCGTTTTTGTCCTGTGGAATATTGTTTTACTTATATTTTTCTATGAAGGACTGATGCTGAATTAAGAAAGACTCTGGAAGAATTGTCTGAAAAGCTCACAGAGTCCCAAAGACAAGAAACGGTGAGTGTGACTAACATGAAAAGATTATTTATATTTAGTATTCTAAGCTGGATGTGGGCTTCTAGTTTAATGTATGTTTTGGTAAGCAGTATCACATATTGATATGTATATCTGAACATGATCTTATTAGGGCTACTATAAGTTGTTGAAAGGTTACACTTCAGTAATGGAATCAGCAGGACAGGTTTTATATTTCAGGTACTTGTTTTAAGTAAAAGTGTTTTACAAGTGTGTGTGTTATGAATTTTTCTGTTTCAAAATTCACAGCCTTGGAGAAAGCAGATTTTTAACTTTTAACATTGGTTTGAGTGCTATTATACTTGCTGAAGCTTCCTTTGGAAAATTTTCCCATGTTATGATGATAAATGCTATTGTTTCTCCTCCCTCCYTCCTTCCCTCCCTCCCTGTCCTTTTCCATCTTTACTATCTGTGTAGCAAAATGGAAGGAGTCTCTTTGGGCTGCACTCTTCTCTGAAAGCTTTGTGACAAAATGTAACAAAGGAGGCAGGAGAGCCATGAAATTTTTCTTTCTTGTCTCCTGTATCTGCTGGAAGTAGACTAACTGCAACCTAAGTTCCTTAAATCTGAAAGAGATCTGCTATTGAGATGGAAGTCAAACAGCATATTGCTGTAGGAACAAGAGAAGTTGAGAATCACCCCAGTAATTAGTAGGTGAGAATCCTGTAGGTAGTTTTTGACACATAATACTTGAGTGTATGCTTTATGTATTTGTTGTGATGTTAGCAGCAATACTGACTTTTCAGAGCAAGTGTTTTATGTGCTTATTCTCCCATAGGTTTTTCATCTTGCCCTAAAATTGCATGAGTTGGTACTARATGCTGTGTCAAGGGCTTTAGTGATGTGTTCGTCACTGATAACAATATTATTGGCATAGACCACTTGTTGGTACCAGCAGACTTAATAAAAGTACTTGTGTAAATTCCTGACTCTAGATTAAGTTGGACAGTGGTTCAATGGAATTTGTACCAGTAATGTTCTTGATATGATAGAGTCCATCAGGAAGAGAAGAGTTGCCTTGTCAGCCTTTATAGAAAAATAAGACTGGGTTGTCTTTCTTAGAATGTTAGTTTTGATTTCTCTTAGTAGCCTGGTAGGATAAAGTTTTATCTGATAAAGAATTCTTGATACTTGCAAGCTGCTGTGTTTTTYTGGTAGCAGACTTCTCAGTATACTTATTTTTTTTCTCTTCCATTGTTCTGGTTTGAACGAACTCAAATGGGAGCAAAATACTCCCAAGTTCCAGCAAACCTCCCCCCCTCTCCTTTCCCCACCYGGGTCCCAGAGACAAACTTTTCCACAGAGAGGAAAGTGAAAAGAAAAGGGAAAAAAACTATTTATTTAAAATTATAAAAACAAAAAGAAAAACCTGTGGAATCAGCTGTTAGATCCCAAAGTCTTTCTCTTCCCTCCTGGGAGTAGCTTCCCCTCCGGGGCCCCCAGAGGGGTTGGACAAAGTCTCTCTCTCCGGTGGTTCACTGAAGGATCTTTCTCGCCTGTCGTACCACGGGAAAAGTCCTCCAAATCTCAGATGACGAAAAAAAAATTCGAGGAAAAACAAGTCCAAAGAAAAGGGAGGAAAAAACCCGTCCCAGAGAGCAGACAGCTTATTTTTTGCCACTGAACCCTAAAGAGAGCCTCCCGAGGAAAAAAAAAAAAAAAAAAAAAGTGTGTGTCTTGTCCCTTTCCCTCCCATTGTCCTTGAAGGGAGGAACATCACCAAACAAACCAGAGCAGTCTCGACTAATGTATAGTTACAGAAGGGTTGTTTAACTTTCCTCTAACATAAGCAGATGATAGGAATACAATACTCAGCTAACCTAGGACATCCATGCACCAGGAAATTAGCAAACTCAGCAAGTTTTAACCAAGGTGGYTATCAAGAAAATAGCTGCTGCAACTGGCCACACTACAGCTGTTCAGTGCCTTTGCATGAGAGGAAACAAGCCTTCCTCAGTCCTCTGGAATGCTGGCATCCACTGTTCATTAATTAAGGAAATAACTAGCTTTTTTWATCTCCTACAGTAGGGTTTCAAGATGTGAAATTAAATGTTACAACTTTTGAATTGAGAGAAGCAAAAAATGACAGAGGAGAAATGTAACAAGGAAGTCTTCTGTACTTTGTTAATGGTAAGGGGAATATCAGAAGACTAAATCTCTAAGCTGGTAGGGAACATTATCATCCAGTGAAGCTATGAAAACAGACATGTTTATTGATATTCTTTTAGTGAAAACACAAATGCTGCAGKAAGCTCTTGTGAGATGATTTTTGTGTAGGACTGGTAAGAATTCAGCTGGAATATTCTGCTCATTGCTATTTATTGACTTTATCAAGAAAATTGGCCAAATCAAAAGAAGACTGGAAAGAGTAGAGAAAARAAAGAAAAAGGAGAAAAATAAATAAGACCACTAATTCAAAGAATTCCTTGAAAAGATAAAAGAATTGCTGGGGTTCAGTTTGCAGAAGAAAAGGTAGTTAGGAAAGATCTAGCATTGTGGGATGAATGGCCAAAAAGTGGAAGTTTAGTGTATGATATTAGAACAGAAAGTCATCTAGTGATAATTCTGTACAATAGTGGCCTAATCACCTGTGAGTTAGAAGCTTCTTGGTCAGGAGATGATCTGTGTGCTTTCTGTACTGAGTGAAAATTCCTCTGTTTATTTCTTTTTTGGACCTTGCCTGGTCTTTGTTATAACTTGTATGTCTTTATGATCTTGTCCTGTACCAAGGAGTTCTCCAAATAGATGATATATTGTGAGAAGAGCTGCCACTTATTTGGAGATCTGTTTTTCTTTTTGGTTATCTTGTGTGTGTGTGTTTTGCTGTTGTTGTTGTTGTAGGTTGTTTATTTTTTTTTGGTTTTTAAATCTAAGTGCTTCTGCATCTCTCATTTTCACTCAGGAGATTGTTCTGTTCCTTCAGAGGCTTTTCAGAGTGTTACTTTTTGGGCTGAAAAATTGTGACTTMATGCATTGCTTGTATCCAGCCAATTCCACACCATTAAAAAAGCCTAGTGGTAGCAACTCTGTTACTAGGTATGGATCATTTGCCCTTGTTCTAAACCTGATGATCTCCTATTACTTGATAAGGCTGGTAGAATGAGTGAAATGAAGTAGATGCGAAGGAGACGAAATTAGTGTGGATGTTAAGAATAAAAATAACTCTCATGTTGTGCATAGCAAAGCATGAGATTAGAGTGTGTGTGGAAATTAGGGTCTATTATTGTAGAGATTTGATATCCTTTAGTACATGTTTGCATTTAGGAATTCTTCTAATGAGATTGCTCAATTCAAGATGATTGTCATTGGTGAAAGTGAGTTGGGAAAGAGGAAATACTCTTTTTCTCAAAACTTCCTTATGTGTATGATTCTTGGCAATAAATTGTCCACTTGAAATCTTGATGATTTCACATGATGAGCTCATGGTAAAACATTCTTTTCAGTGTCATTAAGTCTTTCTTGTGTCTAAATTCTTAAAGTTTGGTATAATTGGTGCTGTTTGAAAATTGCCTATATGTAGATGTGTAATGATAAAAGTCTAAACCACTGCAGTTCTTCTGAGTCACTAGTTCAGAATCTATTTTTATTAGAGCTTATGATTCTTAGCGCCTTTTTGATGCTGAATTTGAATACTTTAAGATCCACATAATCAGTACACACTAATTTTAACTGTAAAGAGAGCTTTTCCACACCAATACAAAAACAAGACATCAAAGGTTGAAAGTATACAACAMAGACATTGAAGGAAGTATACAGCACAGGCATAGCTGGATGCCTGTTTCAAGTCAAGCACTCTCCATTGTACTTGAGCCTTGTACTTGAGAATCTATGTGCAGTTTTGGTAAAAAGCCGTGAAGGTTGTACAGCTCTCTCTATATCAAAATCTCTTAACTAGACATTTTGTGAGATTCTTTTCTTCTCAAAAAGGGTTAGAATGTTTGCTAGGGGAATGTCCATACAGTCATATAAGCAATTGAAAGAATATTTACTTACTTTATAGTTATAATAAGGTCATCTTGGGCATTTTGTTGCAATCTCTTGGATAGAAGCACATCCCAAATAGCACAAGATGCTGATTTTTATGCATAAAGAGCAACTTCCTCGAAGCACAGTTTTGTTCAAGTTAAGTAGATGCTTCATTGAGATAATGCTATTATAAAATGATTGCAGACCGTCTCTGGAAAAAGACAGCAATGTCAAGTGAAATGGGTCTTATGTAGTGTTACTGTGGTTATGGTATCTCAGAGGGCCAGGATGATTGTCTAATAATGAACTGTCCTTCAGAAGATCTGGTATAAGGATTTCTGGTACTGCAGAGTTATTTATAAAAGGTATAACACACATYGTTTGCCATGAGGAAAAAGTTTAACAGTATTTAAAGTTATATCTCTGAAAAAGTTTTGCWGTTTTTGTAGTTTTAATACTCCTGTTTCATGAATGCATTGATGATAAAATGGGTCATTACAAGAAAGGTAACAAAAATCCATTGAAATAGATTTCTGTTAGTGGGACTTGTGCACTAGAAATAACAGTGGAAAGCTGAAAACCAGGCAAGAAATTCAATAAGAAGGATGATGCTTTTTGTACARTAAGTATCCAGCGTCTTCCTCAAGATTATATTTAGGTGCATGACTTAAATGTCACCCTGGTTCAAAAAGGAGATTCTGTTCTTTGTGTTTAATTGCAGGGAAGGGGAGGAACTTTTTGATAGCCTAATCCATTTTCATAGATTTTGCTGCTACCTGAAAGCTCTAGTGTCATCATTATCATTCAGATAGTCTAAATCAGTTGCTAAAAATGCATGCTTGAAATCACATTCTAATGTGTTCTGAATGCAGTAATTTAGTGCTAGTATTTCATGTCACTATGTAGAGCCTCCATATTCTTTGTRCTATTCTTTAGTGAACCACTTGTCTATACCAAGATTTTTGGTAACATTCAGAGGTTAAGATATATATACTTTCATTGTATATGAAAGTCAGGATCATCTGGGACAAAGGAAGACAAGTGTGTTTTTGTGTTTACTTTGCATGAATTAACACTTAACTGTTTCTAATTTTTTTTTGTTTTAATCTCTGCTGTTGTATGTCACAAGCTATGTGACAAACTGAGGAAGGTCAGAGAGGCTACAAAACCAGGGGACATAATTCTTGTGGGAGATTTTGCCTTGCTGAAGTGCCAAGGTGTTACCAATACCATAACAAAGTACGAAGCCTGGGAAAAAATAMGGGTTATAAGTAGCATCAAAATGTTTGGTGGTTCGTTTTGGTTGTGGGCATTTTTTGTGTGTTAAAAAGCATTATGTCTGACTCTGAAATTTCCATGCATCTGACAAATATAATGATAAATAATGCATTTTTTTAATAGCACCTTCCTAGAATTAATACAATAATTGTATTCCAGAGTGAGTTGAAGGAAGTCAACGGCAAGGCAAATCACCTGATAAAGTGACTCTTGTTCAGAGTTGGTGATAATTTGTAATGAAATCTGAAGTTTGCAGGAATCTRAAGCTTGTCTGGTGCTGCCTCGTGTCATGTTATCTGCTATGCATGCTAGACCCATGACAGTGAAGAAGTTACTGAACTCTCCTTTGGARTGTCATCTTTTGAGGGTGATGTTACTTTAGAATCTTCTGTCAAGTCAAAAGTATACATTGTCTTTCTTAATAACTTTAGTGCTCACTTGCTTCATTGAAAAAGGTGCATGAGAGAGCTGGGGAATCTTCTGTCTTCAGAAATACATAGTCAAGGCTCTAAAAAATGTAAAAACATTACTTTTTCATTTCTTTATATTAAGTATGTAGGGGGAAAAGGATGATAGCTTATTTCCTGGTTTTCAGCAAAGATACAACAAATTTGATGACAAATTGTAATTTTCTGTTCCTGCTATATAGTATCATTGTTTCTGTTAGCTGGAGTATTTTATGAATTTGAGAAAGTGGCACTAAATAAGACTTATCAAAACATCGTARTGTGGTCTTTATCTTTTATACATTAGTTTTTAGTAAGTAATTATTCTGGATTATGACTGCAGAGCTTTCATAACTTACRTGAAAGAGCATGGTTTGATGCAGTACCAGGCATCTCCTGATGGCTTTGGGAAAAAATATGATATTCTAGACTCTAAGCTGACTATTCATTTGGCTGCGCAAACAAGAAATGTTTTGCAAGTGATTTATTGTGTTGTAAAGGAAAAAAGTGTTTTATTTGTTAAACCTTGTGGAGCCCAAAATGAAAGTGTGGCCTTAATTGTGTTTCTGTTGCTACATAACTGTGTTGCTCATGGTAAATTTTTCTATTCATGCATGTGCCTAATGCTAATCAAAGTATGCTTGACAGAGAAAGATGAAAAGTTATTCACCTCCACATACATCAGAGACTTGTAGTTGAGTGGTGTTTTATGTCTTTCTCTTTTTATCCAAATACTATTTGGTAATAGATATATAGTTTTCTGGTGTTTGCTTAAAAAATTACTTTTAAGGTAGGGAGGAAATGATACATAAATATTTTTCTTGCTAATCTTTAACAAAATAAATTTAATTTGCTGCCTCAAGAGGGTGCTGTCTGCTAGCAGCTTGAATTGCAAAAATGAAATAGTTCTGGTATTCTAGTCTATGATTGAGCTTTTATGTTCATAATCCAAATTGCTTTAATAAATACCTGTTTTTGTTTGTATTAGTTTGTACATGGATTCACAAAATATTGGGAAAAAGGCTTAAAGTGATGTAATTATTTTGTGTTATTGTAGTCATTCTCATGTACTTAGTTCTTGTTTACTACTTTTCACTCATGGATTTCAGAGCATGAAAGARGGAAACACTGGTCTGTTTTGCAGACTGGAGATGTGAAAGAAATGTCCTTCCAGAGGTTAATCAGGCTTGTGACAGAGAAGCTAAGATTTTTGTATTGCAGCTTCACATTGGGCTGCTCTAAACTTGATAATGAGATATTTAATGCTTGAGTAGAACCACCACTGTAGAGAAAAATRTGCATAAACCTAAAGGAGGATATTGCTAGAAAGATAACAATGTGGTTCCCTGCTTGAGTACTTCTTGAGTACTCTCTGCTGTAACCAGTTATTTTCTCTACTATTCTCAATCTTCTTTAATAAAATAAAAATTATGTTCGCTTCTCTTTTTGCCTCATACTCTATTTACTTTTTCRCCCTTAATATTTTTCACATGTATTAAAAAGACACAGTAACTTCCTACATCATGGGTTTTTTCCCTTTTGAAGGTATCAGAACGGGTAGAGAGAAGACTTCAGGAGATAGAAGAAGAAATGCGTGCTGAAAGACAGCTCATAGAAAGGCGCCAGGACCAGTTGGGACACATGTCTCTTCAATTACAAGAGGTATGCAAATGAAACTTCCTGTGTATTTAGGATTTAGTTAGGAATGTGTTGCATTTGTGAGCCTGTACCTGTATAACTGGCAAAAGTGCTCATATCTTTGGCATATTTTGTAACTCTCAGTCCAGCTGAGCTTGTTTCGATAACTAGATGACACCAAGTACAGTGTCAGTTCTTCATTCTACCGCCTTGACTATATTTAAACCTTTTTGGTAACTGCCACAAATTTTCTAAGCACTTCTTCCTTGTGCCCTTCCTGAAAACCCAAGCAAACAAAAGCAAGTCATTAGCAGGGTTTTCTCAAAACCTTTTTGTTTTCTAAAAGCGAAACTTTGCTTGCTCATGCAAATGAACACTTTAATTTATTTCAACAACCAGTCAAAAGCTCTGTAGTAGCCAGACAGCTTTTCATTTTCATTCAACAGTACCTGACGAAATACAGAATACTGTTTAGGAAAGAAATGTAAATTTTTAGAATATGAATTAAAATTTAAGACAGCTATTAGCTTTTTTTCTGCTTCTTTTATAAAATGTATGAAAAATAATTCTTTCTTTTTAATTTTCTCCTGGTTTTACTTCTTTCTTCTCCTGGAGAATTTGTATCTTAACATAGAATAATTTTTTTTTCACTTGCCTTAAGATATGTTATCTCTATCTGTGCAATAGTGTATTATAATTGAGAAGAAATATGTGATTCCTTTGTTTTCACTTTTAGTATCTGTAGTATAGCTTTTTGGAAGGCATTATACTGTGCAGTGATACTGAGAAATCTTAAGTTAGAATGGTTTTACGTGAAGCTAGAGGCTGTTCAAAGACGTCATATTTTAGAAGATGAGATGCTTTTTTTGATATAGATAAAAAGTAATGTTTATCAAAAGGCTTGTAATCCTTGTGCCAGTATTTCAGAATGACTTACTGTTTCATTTTTCTCTCAGTGGGTGTTCTATTGGGTGAAAAAAAACTAGAGTGCTGAATTTCAGTTTTCATTGCTCTTCAATATGCCTATATCCCTTTTTAAATTCTTCAGTTGTGCCCTCAGTCTGGGGAAGGGGTGCTTAGTGCAATGAATTGATGTGATTTGATAGTGTTATCTGCAGAATGGAACTATCTTCTTTTCATTTTAAGGGGATGATGACTTGTAATCTCTAAAAATACATTGACAGTGCTATGGTTTCCTTAGAAAGAAAACTTGAATTTGTGTGAATGAATTCAAATGTAGTTCAAAGAATTTTCATATGATCTTTCATAGATCATGTGAATTATCATAGCCTATGTGATCATGAGCCTTCAGTCTGGGTACTTTTATTCTTGGTAATTGATCTTTTGAATTTCATGCAAAATGAATATGAAATACTAAGTACATCCTAGACCTTTTATTCCCCCAAGATGTCCAGCTCTGAATTAAGATGGTTTAATCCTTTCTCCTATAAATTCTATTTTATTTTTGTAAGTTATTTTTCCTAAGAAACCCCTTCATAAAATACAGCTTAAGTTGCTGTATTTTCAGAAGAATGTACTTGAATTGCCTTGTGTCTTTTGCATAGTCTAGTGAGAATAAAGTAAACAAATATTTTGCAACAGTTATTATTTGGATGAAACATGTTTCTGCATAATTTTGAGCTTGTTACTTTGTTATTTTGTTGTCCTTTATAAGTTGAATTGTAAGTTAGATTCCTAGGTCAGTCAATGGCCTCAGAGGTGATCATTACAAGGATGTAATGTTCTGTTGAAGTCTATTTCTGTTTTCATTTATTTCTCCAAGATGCTTCCCAAGTAACATTACTGGAAAGGAGAGTAGTGTTAGGACTAAGTTTTGAAATCCTGTAATTTAATATGGTCTGAATGATTTACACAGAAAAGCTATTTAAAGCATTTGTGGCTATTTAATGTTACAATTTTTTTATTAGTTTGCCTTTTACACATTTCAAACCAAACAAAATCAAATTTGACTTTTGCATGTGATCAGTACTTGTGCTAGTTAAGAAATCTTGTGAAGTTTGTGAGGTTTAAATGCTRTTGTTTTTTATTAAAGTGCAGTACCTGTAACAGACCACTACTTGTCAGTGTTTTACCATCTTAAGAGAATCATCTTCCTGAATTGCAATTATTAAATTATATATTTTCAAGGTCTGACAGGGAGACCATTTGTTTTGGCCTTTCTTGTCTGTCTTTTCTTTCTGTAGTTTTTTGTATAATGTGCAAACTTCTAATTTGTATGGTAGTATTATTGCAATAGTAGATTGATTATGAACCAAGATGATACGTGGTTATATACTTACCATTATGAAAGCTTGACATATTTTTCATCTTTAATTTTTAAATTTGCATTTTTATTTGGAATCTGTRGCTTGTTTGTGCTGTGTGTAGTTGGATAAAAGTTATTTTCTCTATATTTTTATGTATCTTTTACCTTAGTGGGTATTGGTGTGTTTAAAGAGAAATTACTACTAGATAGAAAGTAGCAATTAGAAAACAAATTAATGCAAATTGTATGTCTTAATTTTTTTCCTATATTCCTGATAAAAGTATGTGTCTCATTAGAAAGAACAAGTATTCTCATCTTGTTTGTGGTATTGACATGYATGCATGAATTACTTTAACAACTTAATTTGTTGTGTAAATGGAAACTATTTTTAGATTCCTCAGTGGTTTTTTTTTTTCTTGGAACATAAAGACACCACCACCTCTTTTTGTTTGCATTTATGCATCTATTTTCTAAAACAAAATCAAGTATCATTCTTACAAATGGGCTGTAGGCAGCTTTTCTGTGTCTTGGATGTCCTGGATGGCTTTACAAAATTCTTTATTTGACTTCCTGGATTTTGGTGAAATGTGTCCATGTGTTCATGCTTTGCATGCTTTAGGTGAACAGAATCATCTTTATTGAACCTTTTGAATCCACTGACTGTGGTAAGGCAGTGACTACACTTATGTCTTAACCTAGCAATTTGGGTAGGTGAGAAAGCGTTTTTTAACTTTCTCTGTGCAACTGTATACTTAAATTCTGTTTGCCTCCCACTGCAAATACCATGAACTACAAGAAGCTTGTGGACAGAGCGTGGGGTAAACTGATGGTGAAAAGTGTTCTTTTTTTGCATATCTTTATCACTGATTTTTTTTTGACAAACATAAACTTGATCTGTGCTTTGAGCCATCTGGATATTTTAGTGTATCGTTGATACTTGCTCTTTGGCTCTATGCTGTGCCACCTGTGGCCAATGGTTTCTGTTTTGATTGTAGTTTGAATCTGACTCTGCTGGAACATGAGCAAGTTTCATACATATCTGTCACTGAAGTAGCTAAATAGTCTGTTTTAAAATGCTTGGCTGGTATGTTTAGGTAGCATACTTGGAGCCACGCTAGTCACTAATATAGCAAGTTAGGGAAAGTATTTTCATTCCAATTAGGATGTGGCACGTTTTTGCCTTACTTTAAACTATAGCATGAGGCTGTTCTGCTTGTATGTTTCTGATAGTATGAAAAACTCAGTGATCGGTCTCACTTTGAAAGAGCAAGTTTCAGTTTGTGGTCTGTACTCTGTGCACAGCTTTCAGAAAGTCTGGTTTTCTTTAAAAAAACCAACACAGCAAAACCAAACAGACCAAAACCCAAAGCTTAAGAAAAATTAGTAGGCTTAAATTGCTGTAAAAGTTATGATTTGCTCTTGAAAGGTTATCATAAATTGGAAAGATTGAGAACTGTTGTTCCAAAATCCTCCACATAATTTTCCTCGTGTATAAGAAAAATTGATGTGTCTATCAAGCAGTAAGTTATGTTATGTTTGTGAAGTTTTGGGGTTCAATGCATGCTATATGTGGATGAGGTATGCTCAGTTGGACTATACCAGTTACGTTTGTGCTCTAATACTGTCTTATACCAGTGAACTCTTTATAAAGACCTGTAAGAATTGCACTCTTTGGTAAAATCAGAAGTTCTTCTAGCCTGATCACCCAGACAGGCAGTGGAACATCTATCTGGTTCTTCCCAAAAGCATCCTGTGAAGACCTTTTTACATGGAAGTTCTCTATCTCCTTGCGGCCTCCTCTACCTGCCCCCTCCAAGGGCTCATCAACCTCCTTGTCAGTCTCCTCCAGACCAACCTGGACATGCTTTCAGAGGAGGATCTTGATGGGAGAATCTGTTGACTGTGGGCATGTTCCTATTCCTTGGTGCTTCAGCTTCTCTGGGCATAAGCTGAAGCACAAACATCTGTCTGCTGTTTGTGAGCCATCACGGGGGAGTGTGTGCTGAAATTGTCATCTGTAGCATCCTTTTCCTAGTTCCCATTTTTCACATTTGACTGCCCCAACCCCTTCTTTGGGGACACCAAATGAAATCAAAGAATCAGTTGGATCTTTACATGTTTTGTTTTTTCCTTTTAGCCCTGCCAAGAGAAAGCTTATATAAAGATCTTTAGTGGGGAAAAAACAAGTGTGGCATAAACCAGCAAGAGAGAATTATTTCAAAAGGACTACAGGAAAGAGGCAAAGCACAGAATTAACTTTTACCTATGCAATTTCTGAATTGTGGCTGACATTTGTCTGGCTGTGGATGACCAGATGTTTCCATTTCTTAATGACATTTTGATTAACTGCCTACCTGGCACCTACTGGTACAATACATGTTTCACAGTTGAAGAAGTGCACATATAGTATGTTTGATTTACTGTAACATCACTTGTTTCTTTTTTGCAGGATTTTAACTCTAGTCTGTCTATCTATCTATGAGCTGTTTTTCTCCTTAAAATGAAATAGCTATGGACTAYTTTTACAATATGCAGAAAATAAAACTGAAGGTTATATATGTAGTAGCAGTTATAGTAAAGGCTGCCTTTTTGTTTGAAATTGTTCCTATTTAATAGGCTGAATATCAGTCAGTGAACCTTAATAAGTGGAAATGGCATATTTATTTCCATGGTTTGTTCTGGGAATTAGGATATGCTACTGATGGAGAGACATACCTTTTGATTTCAGCAGGAATCATTATTGAAAATTTTACCATTCACTAATTAGTATTCCTAAATCCAGCCCAGTTTTAGTATTTTCTTTATGATTCTGATGTCCCTAGCCAGATCTGCACATGAAAACATGCATTTTTGGTACTATATTAATTGCTAATTTAGTGCCAAAAATAAAGTTGGCATAAAGTTGGTTGTCTATAACAGCCTCTAATTTTGCTAGTAAAGCTGAAGGTCAGTTGCAGTTAAGGGACATTATACAGTTCCAAGTAGGCTGTTCTGGACCTATACTTCTGGTCATTAAAAATAAACAAAGGAAATAAAACCCAAACCAAAAACCCAATCAGCTTGGGGAATACAAAGGTGATATTAGCTGAGGTGATGACCTTAGAGCTTGGTTCATGTAGAGTTTTGGATTTCTCCTAGGAGTCGTTTTGAATAAAATGTGTGCAGTGTTGAATTTTATAGTTGACTGGAATGATAGATTTAAATCTCTACTGAATACTTAGGAAAATACCGTAAATACGTTAGAATCTTCTATGATCTGATTAGAGATCAGTATGACTAAAAGTATAACTCTTTATGTGACATCCTATTTTCAGTGGCATAGGTATGATTAATGTCTTCCATGATCTCAGTTTTAATGTAAGCTGTTCAAGCAGTGAGTAATCCAAACTATACTGAAACCCTTATGTTTACAGAAGTGAGATTGTAAGAGTGAAGTAAGTCTATAAAGCCATTTATTTTCTCCAAAAAGCTACTTTTAAAGGCAAAACTTCTAAAGCTGAATGCCTGGCTTCACTGAAGTTGATTAATGTCTTGTATTCTGTTTTCATAAAGTGAAATTGCTCTCCAGTGTACAGTGAAAAGAAAATGTTCAAAAACTGAATGAAATTGCACAATTTATTGGGACAAATTTCAGGGGTATTTGTTAGAGGAAATATTCCTTTAATATGTGAAATGTAAATGCTGCTTGGGAAGGACACACTAGGAAGAAGACATTTCTTTCTGGACAGGCTATGTTTTTGTTGTTGTTCTGTTTTAGCAAGTAATTGTGGAAGCAATAGACATACTTTGGCTTCAGGATATGGAATAAACTATTTGTGCTAGGGTCCCTAATTAAGTGATTTGTGACTAGTGTGAAAAATGCTTGATCGTGTTGCACAGATAAAAAATGTGATTTAGCAGTTACAGAAATTCATGGCAAATTATCAGTATATGGCTACTGATCTCTCTTAGCTGATGTTTCTAAGTGATATTTAAAATAAGCCAATGATATTGTTATGGGTTGAGATATTTAAGCTTGTGTTGTGTATGTTGCAAATATTACATGTCATTAATATCTGTAATGTCTAAAACTTCCTTTGCCAGTGGTTGGCTGTGTTCTGCAAATAGTGTTGGTTTGCAGAGGGACAAGATTTTGAAATTGATATTTAAGGCACTATTGTTTTTGTAAGATGGTCTAGAAAATGTACGTGGGTGGTTTTAGATACCTCAGTCTGAGAGGGAGTGGGAAAAGTCCCCATGGATTTGTTTTATTTTTTTGTTGTTTTGTAAAAGTAGGGCACATCAGTGTGGGTAACTTTTCATCAGGAAACTTTCAGCTGATTCAGTTGTAGTTCTGTGGCTATAAGCATCTGTCCAGATTCAGAAAAAAAATAACCTTTTCCAGTTTTTTTCCCCTTCTGACTTGCAACACAACCTTATGGCAGTGTTTTCTCTATTACAGTGCATGGTATTTCATAATATGCACACTTTATGTTAGAGAATATATTCTTTTTCTCTGTACACTGCTAATCTGTAGGGGATCTCTTGAGCCTTTTAAACCTTAATCTAAAGGTATTTGGGGCCAACTTGAGTGTCTGGAGCTCTATACATCGGAAGGATGTTAGTGCTGGTTTAGACTTTGTATTTGTCCCTGTTCTCTGCATGGGTGTGTTTATGTATGCATGGACTTATATTTATCTTTTCATAACAATATACATTGGCTCTACGTGGAAATATTAGATGCAGACAAAAGCATTTGTCTAGATCTTTCTTAAATGCATTCACAGATTCTTCAATTTTAACAGCCTTGGAATGATGGCTTCTGTAAATTTTATAATGTAGTTTATAATATATTTTTCTCCTCTAAAGGTTTTAAGAAAGCAAGATGCTAAAGCAGATGAAACAGAAGAAGTTATGAGAAACAAACTTGTGAAATATGAAAGTGAAAAGAACCAGGTAAGACTTAATTTTTTCCTTTTTGTTTGATTTTAAATGAGTGTATGGTGTCATCTGTTTCAGTATATGCTTCTTTTTTCTGAGAAACCAGCAGGACAAAACTCTCTTTACTCTTTAAGAATACAAGACATTGGGGTTTTTTCTGCATCAGAAGCACTGTGAATGTAGCTATGCTGAGCTTGTGTCTTTCCTTCAAAGCTCTTTAGTTATAGTATGTTACTTCTAATGACTCTTCCATCCTGCCAGGCAGACAGATTTATAATTTGAGGATTATCCTTGGTTTCTTTCTCTGTATTGTCTCTGAATTGATATATAGTCTGCTGTTGCTTATTTGGAGCAGCTTAAAGCAGCTTTTTTCTCATCCTGCAACTAACTCATGCTCGTTATTTTGCACCATAGTTATCACTAATTACTCTTACTGAACTGTTGCCATATTGCTCTCTTCCTGTTCACAGAAAACAAGATTTCTTTTATTTCTATTCCAGCAGGATGCTAGGGCTGTATTACATTTTTCCTATTTTTTTTCCACTTGCATCAAGCTTAACATCTTTCAAATTTATACCCCTTTATGCTAAGCCTTTATGTAGTATTTTATGTTATATTGTTCCTTTCATTCCCTTAATGTTGGTCCTGTTTGCTTTGCCCCTTTGCCAGGCTCTCAACATCCTCCTTGAGATTGCTATCTCAACAATAACAATTTCTGCTGTCAAAACCTGTATTTATTTCCAAGTGGATCTTTGAACTATTTATGGAATAAGTCAGAAAATATTTTGTAGCTTTGGCTTTCATTTATTATTTTTTTCTTTTTTTTTTAATGGTCGTCAGTTTGCTGACTATTTCTGATTGCACATTTTTAATATTATATTTTTAGGAAAACTTCTAGTTTTATAAAATTCAGGGAACTTCAGTGTTTCAGTCATCTTGTTTCCAGAATGATTTAAATACATCATCTAGCACAAGACAGAAACCCCAAGGGTTTTACCAATTGCAGTTCTTCCAATGCATGTCATCTTTAACACTTCTATGAATAAACTATTTAACAAAGGTGACTTCAAATATTAAGTCATTGTAAATTTTAATTTGAGTTTGAAAGTATGTTTCAAATCCCGRGACAATGGTTTTGAAACTGTTAAAATTTATCTTCTATTTTTTTACTTTTAACCCAGTGAAGATTTGCTTTTGTGATTTTTGTTTTGGATAATATAAATGACTTTGTGTCTGCATGTGATACAGAATATTAAAAAAATTATAGAGTATAAATTAAATTCTCTTTTCGTAATTTAAATAAATATTGCAGGGATTTAGTACAAATGGAAGTTTACTTTCAGATTTTGGACAAATAAAAATACAGTGTATATTATATCTCATTTTAAATAGGTGCTTATATGGATTAATTTGTGTCAGAATTGAATGTTAAAATACACTTTTATATTATAATGCATACATTGCTTTTCTTTCTTCATTATCCTCTGAAATGAAAGCTTCAGCAGGAATTGGAGCAGTCCCGGAAAAAGTTGAGTGAATCTGAAGGCAATAGAGAAGCTCTTTTGCATCAGGTAACTGTTTTGGTGTGGCAAAAATCCTAAAGTTTTCATATTAGATTGTGTAAGTCTTTTTGTTTAATATTCCTATGTCATACTCTGATAACATTGTTTTGTGAAGGAAGAAATGACGTATAGAAAGACAGATTTAAGTGTCTGAAATATGTGACTAAGCACGTTATACTTTTTCTGCTTTCCAAATTGTATGTGTGTATGTTCATATACATTAATTATAGTAGTGGTAGTAATGGTATGTTTTCAGTGCATTAATACATTATGTGAAATTTCCTTTCAGAGTATGCTTTACAACAACTTCTATATTAGTAATCATTGTTCCGCAGAGTGCGTGCTATAATTGGGGAAATCAGATAAATCAATGACCTATAAGTATTTGCTACATTGTAACATGCAATAAAAATAAATAAATACCTGAAAAACTATCTAAAGTGTGCTTTAAACAATAGCTATTTATGTACATATGATTTAACTCAAAATTTGTAGGAATCTGGATTTTAGGTTTAGGAAAAAGTCCTTTCTCCTAAGAAGCCTCCTTTCAGAGGAGCTGGATAAAAAGACTGAAATAACTAGGAAGGGGGCAATTTGCATTCTCATCTTTTAGCATTAGTTGTTTGACTTGTGTATCTAGCAGAAGTTTGAGTTAACTATATTACTGTTTTGAATTTAAATCACTGTGCATGGAATATAGAGTAGTATGAATTAGAGGTATTTTTCTTCAAATCAACTTTAGCATGTTGGATTTTCTTCATTTTCCTACACATTATGTCATCTTTGTAAGTGCTATACTATAGATGATAGAAAGGAATAATGTGAAAAGCCCCAGTGTATCTTATGAATAAATACACTGTATATTTAAGGTGCACAATTTAAATAAAATGTATTGCTTATTATATTTGAATAGACATTTTCACTAGCTATGTAAAAAGACATATAATGTGGAAGCATTTTATTTGGTCTAGAGAAATTAATGCTCATCTGTGGTCTACATAAATTAAAAGGTTTCTTTTAATTCTGAATATTCATTTTGTGGCCTGTAATTAGGAAGTAGTTTGTCTTTTTGTTTACCATATGCATTACTACCAAGATTTACTTATAAATATTTTTTGTGTGTAGTATTTTTTTTAGTGTTTAAAAAAAAYATAGTATTACTTCTTTGTTCTGTGTTTCATTAAACATTTGATGCTTGTGCATGTATTTCAGGTTGAGGATCTTCGTTCCCAACTTTTGAGAGCAGAAGAAGACCGTGTAGAATTGCAGCATCAAATTTCATATGCTGCAATGCATCGCCAGAGCTACCAGGATGCACAAGATGATGACAGGAGAATTAGAGCAGGTACAACTAATATTTTGCACTAGGGACCTGCAAACTAGCTAGTAAATGTGAATCTTAGATTTGCAGTCTAATTCTTCTATGGTTTCAACAAAACCAGCCACTTTATTCCTCAGATTTAAGTAAGTAAATATTAGCACCTGAGTATTAACAGAAAAATAGCAACAACAGTTCATTTATGATAAAATATTTTGATTTGCATGGTTAAAACAAATGGGACAAGTTCAGCAAACTGGATAGTGTTTTTGCAGAAAAACATTTGTATTGTTTTGAAGTAATAATTTTACAGAAAACTTACATTTCAATCCAGTTTCAATTCTGCCATTTTGAAAATCATAACAGGCATCATTTACTAGGTGGTTAATAAGGCTGATGACTTTTTGGTAGAATTTCCAAGGGACAACATGTTCCTGAGTGGTTAAGAACGTTTTTCCATATGATGCAGTCAGGGCTGCTGTTTGCAGTATGTTAGAGTTTTAGAGCTGAAATAGTTCAATTTAGAAGAAAATTACTTCAAACAATTTCAAGATATAATTGCATATTAAATCACCACTTTAGCAAGGTCTTCAATTAATTGTTAGTTATCTATCTGTATTTAAACTTTTCAAACATAATCAAAAAGGCATTAGAGAAAGTCTTTATTTTTCTCCTTATTAACATAGAAATGTATTAATCAAGGTAATAGAGAAATAGTGGCTCCAAGTCCAGTGTCTATGTGAATGTTTAATAGGTTTGGCTAATGACTTGTTTTTATATTTTCGTACTTCAGCTACTGAATTATCTTGGTTTTTAAAATAGGACTCTGAGTCCCTGTTTTACAAATCTCATTCAGAGCATTTTAAGTTGGCTGATTTTGTATGACTTATCTTCAGAAATGTAATGCAAAATAATAATTTCAATAATTTTTCTCCAATCATGTTAATGTATCCGCTTAAAAGTTAATTTATTTGAAACAATGCTTTCATGCTAATAAATGCTTATTTTAATTTTCCTATTAATCTTATGAATCAAAACAGTTGTAAAAATATGAAGGAAATAAAAATGTACTGGAGCTGTTAAAGTATGTGCATATATTTATATATTTTTTGCARTTTTGTTTCACCTTGCTGTGTTATTTCTCTTTCTTCAGAGATACATGGGAAGAAGACAAATGGAGATTTTTTTTTCTTTTGCCTCTAGTAGTGTTTTATGACTAAAGACCTTTGAATTTGTGGTTGGGAGAATTTATAGCTTACTCTTATCAAAACCTTTTTGTGGTAGCTGCAGGATTCAGACATAGAATTCACAGATAATGTGACTTTCAAATTGGGAGGTATTACGCTGGTGAGATAAAATCTTGGCCTTGAAGCTGATGTTCAAATTTCATTTACACCAGAACTTGTCCATTGTTTCTTCCATCTTACTTTATTCAGTTTTGTTGGTGCTTTGCTTGTTTCTTTGGATTTTTTTTTTTTTGTGGGGAACAAGTGTGTGCAGGGGGAAGAGTGGAAAACCCCATAAAATGATTGAAAAAAATCATTCTGTAAAATGTTACGAGGCTACAGTTAAACCATTTTTCACAGACATTTGAGTCAAAATCAATAGTTGTAGAGTAGTCTTGAGTGGAGAAGAAAATTGCCAAAAGTGAAATGAGATAAAATTAATTTACCAAAAGTTGGTATTTCTACTGAGGCTGTTGCTCTGTTCTTGCTGTTTTATAGTAGCTGAAAGATATGAGAGAGAAAAGCAAGATCTGGAGAAACATATTTTGGAGCTTAAAGCAAAGCTGAGTCATAATGCTGTAATGTCAGAGGTAGAAGAACTAAAGAGATGTATAGAGCGTAAGGACAAGGAGAGAGCACAGCTTGTAACACACATACAGGTAAGTTGGTTTTTGTTACTGTTTGTTTGATGGTATTTTTGTTGTTTTTAAATAATTTTTCATCTGTTAAACATTAGGGGATGTATCAGATTAGGGATTAACCTAAAACTAAGAGTAACTGTTATGTTCTTCTTCACCCATTATGTAAATAACTGAAGAGTGATTTGAGTTTGCTGACTCTTTTCTCTCCCATGTAATCCCAAAAAATGTATTTGCTGTTGCCCATGATTTCATTGTTTGGATTACTTCTCTTTCCCATGTGCCGAGAAAAGGTAATCTGATTTTATCAGCACTTACCACTGATAATGGTTTTTGGAACTACTTTTATAAGGTAATRCTTCCTTATTCCCCATTCAATAATTCCTTAGAACTAAAGTTCAACTTTAAAAATTGAACTTTGTTCTTTGAGAGTGCGGTAGAGTAACAGAGGTACTCACAAGCTCACAACTTCTCTTTTTTTCACAATTAGATGCAAAGAGGTCTAAAATAGGCAGTAATGACCTAAAATGAGATCTAAATAGGCAGTAGCATTCTTATTTAAGATGGGAAATTTCTGTATTTCTTGGTCTTGTCTGGATTTGTCATTGATAGTAGTATGCCTGAACAGTAACTATTGTCTTCTGTCTTCCATGACTGTCAGAAAAAAGAGAGTTTGTTTGCAAAATCATGTATATTACTTCAATAGTAAAGGACTTAAAATTTTGTTCTAGTTGTATTTTGGCATTCTGTAAGCGAGGAATTTTGTATTTATTTCCTAATGAAGATACTTATCTTTGAAATGATGTTGCATCACTTTGGAAATTCAAATGTTGGGATTTGTTTCTTTCTCTTTTTGTACATTTACAAGACTATCATGATCAGTTTACTTCTGTGCTGATTTAAATCAAACTAATACATCAAATTACACTTGGAAAAAAATGCGGTCTCAAAATAAGTTCCTACATGCTTTATGAAATTTGGTCATTGAATAGGTTTAAAAAGACCTAGAGTGTTTCTATAAAGGGTAAGATGAGCAGAACCTTGGTGTCCATCAGCATTTGTATTCTAGCTGGTCAATGTAACTCCTGACTAACTGAAAACATTCTGGTTTTTGGTTTTATTGTGCCTGAGAAACAAATTATTATGGTGATAGAAATTAAGGGGATAAAAACCCACAGAAAAACAATTATTTTAAACTTCTGCTTGTAAAATATGCTTTCTTAAGGGTCAGAATGATTTTATAATACTAATTTCCTGCTCTGAAAATACTCATGCAGGAGTGCTCAGTTGGGGTCATTGTCATTTCTCAGAGTCAGAAATCTTTGACTTCCCTCGTTTTTTCAACAGAAAATACTTTGTACTTCTTATCTGCTTCCCACTGCCCTTCTCCTACAGGGGCAGTAACAGGAAAATAGCTGGTGTGTTTTTCTTTTAATGAGACATCAAGGAATGCAAGGATGTGAATTTCTAAACTTGTGTACTAACAAAGCATTTTGTCAAGCTTTTTCTAACAGCTGCTCCTGTCAGATAGTCTGATTCCCAGTTGGAAGTGACCAGTCACGTTTGACTTGACTGTAATTTATCTTTGTTTAGTGGGGAGGATCTAACTGCACTTGCCTCTGATGTACATGTGATACTGTAAATTTCTTTTGATTTATTTAAATGTTATTGTTTGCAACAACTTGTGTGTKTTGTACAGTTAGCCCCCAGCAGTTGCCATAAAATCACAGTTTGATGTAAAACGGAGAGGATGAAAAAGGTTAAAACATATCCTTAAGCTTATGTTTAGAAGTGAATTCAATCTTAGATTAAATTTTAAATTCAGTATTTCTTTCAGCTACTGTAGTTTATGTAAGGAAGCTGCTGTGAGATCTTACAAATAGATAGCTGTATACAGCATCTTAAATGCATTTTTCTGCATGAAACCATATAAATATGGGGCTGTTAGGACTAGCTATTATGACTAAGAAATTAACAAAGTGCATAAATTATAAAGATGCAATACCCTACTTTCCCCAGAAGTGTTTTTAGATGGTTGTGCCTGTGAAATTTGTTTGRTTTACTAATTATGCTTCATTCCAATTAGGTTTTAGTAGTCTTATACTATTGTCCAGTACAACAGACAGTCTGTWTGTTAAATATTTCAAGTTTTTTGAGGGAAAATTATTGATATGTTTATTTAATATTAGAATTTTTCAGTAATATAAGTCTTTCAGTATTATGCATGTTGATTTGTACTCTCATTAAAATTTACTTTATGACCTTTTCCTCTACAGATGATACTGTTAGCCAATTATTGTCATTATATATATATGAGCCAATTAAAGTATTAGAAAATCARTAAGTGACACTTTTCTAAATTCAAAGATAATTTTATAAAATAGGAGAAATCCATAACTTTGCAGACCAGTCTGTATTGCCATGTGAATATTCAAATACTAAAATAGTGCTACAGATGGATTTCAAATATACCAAAACTGTTTGCTTTGRTAAATTTTTTCTCTAAAATCACATATCAACCAGAGAGGAAAATACATTTCCCTGTATTTACTTATTACATTAAATGTAAGAAAGAGWAGCAAGCTTTGGAAAAATATGGACAAGGCCTCATTTCAGGGAATTGATTTTTTGCAACGTATTTTTTATGGAGTGAATATACTTTTTGATCCATTGAATGTATCTGTTTTTGATTGGTCAATTCACAGAATTTATGCTTGCATAAAAAATCTGGCTTAATGGTCCTTAGCAGTTAGATACATTATGATTGGCAAGAGGTGCAGATGAGATAGTGATGAACAAATTAATATCTGATGTCTGCATTTGGGAAAAATTAATGAGAATAATTAGGTGCCATAATTGATCGGTGTAAACATTATAAGTCACTRTAGTATGATTATGTAGCATTCCGGTCTGGTGACTGTACTGCTGAGATATAGGGCAGGAAAGAGAGGAGGGAGAAAAATACTCACAGATCCACTTTAGGTGATTAATACAGTTAGTATGGTGGGCTGAAATGTGACTTTCTATATTCTTATCAGTAAAGAATACTTGCACATAACAGTGATATAAGGCATTAGTTCTGTAAGTTCTAGCAAGTGAATGGTCCTCACATTTTATATGTTCCTACAAGCTTTAAGGAATGTTGCTCTGGATACACTATGTGTTGTGGTTTCTATACCTAGAATTACTTTTGCTATGCAGGTTGTGGTGATTTTATTTTTAAATTAGGTGTCAAAAATGCAGGGTGAAATTATGATGTGTGTAGTCAAACTAGGGAGTAGAAGTCCAAACTGCAGAAATTTCTAGCGTGGTTGGTAGAGTCACAGGTTTTGTGCCTAGTGTTTAGTTTTCACTTCAGATAAATAACTAGACTATAACTGGGAAATGCTGGCCTGTTTCTCTGCTTCCATTTTCTTATGAGAGTTGGAAGCTAGATTGCATACTGGGATATTAGATCTATAGAAAACTAGATGCACAACTGTTTTATTTGGGGCAAATGTTGTATCTGTTTTTGAGTTTGGTAATCACTCCTGTTCTGTTTTCCCTAGCCAAAGCCTCAGTTGAAATGTCTGTAGTGATGTTGCATCCTGAGGGCTGATACAAACATTGTAATCAGTTTTGAAAATAATACTTACCTTCAGATCTCTGGAACATTAGTATGTTGTACTCCAGGATTTAGTAGCTAATTTTAATAACAGTTTTTAACTGTTCCAAAAAAGTAATTACTTTTTATAAAAACCTTCAGATATTAAAGCCAGGAAGAGAGTATTTGATGTTATGTTGGTGGTAAAATAGTTGAGATGTTTATTCTAATACCTTCCCCTTGGTTCTATTAGCAGTCGAATCGTGAAAATGCTAATTAATTGGATTAGAAAAATTGAGACCCATACTTTTCTTCTGAAAAGACTGAGGAGGGACAATGTACCACAATCACTTTTATTCTGTAGTAATTGCAATGCAAAATAAGCTAACAGTTACTATGTATATATGCACACAATATATTTTATCAAAAAACTGTCCTGAATATCCTGGGTTGCTTCTGTCAAGAGAACCTTCATGCTTTTTGTAATGTATGTCACAAAATATTGTCATACTTCTGTTGCATCCAGAGGTCCTCACTGAGTTCTCTGACTGACCTTGAGCCACAGAAGAAAGACGCTTGATGCTACTTGGAATCCGAAGTCTTTAATCTATAAAGGCAGCATTTGTCATCTGTATAGAATATTTTTTTTGAATCACAGGTGGTCAGTAATTTTCTACTTGGAAAAAACCCTCAAGTGTCCAAGTAATGTAAATTTTAAATTGTTTAGAAAGAAATTTAAAGGTGACATTTATAAAATCATCATTATGAAATGAAACCACAAGTCATACTTTGACAGCACACCACTGCCAAGTATGGTGTTGTCCCAATGACAGCAGTAATATGCTTAATTATTTCTTACTGTCAAAACAATCTTAATTCTCATAAAATCAAAATTAGACATTAAAATATGTAGTATGCTTAATGAAGCTTTATGTTTTGTATTAACTATTGACTATCTTCTAGTAGTACAGTTCCACGAAAAGTAGTAATCAGTCATTTTCTGAGTAGAGCTTGTCTGAAAGGACTGTCCTGTTTATTTCTACTGGCCTTATTATTTCCAGCCATTAAAGGAAAACAATGTGCTTTTTAAGATGGTTCTGCTGACCTCTAGATGTTCACTGTTGTAAATGGTTGTTTCAAATCAACCACAAGGCTGGTGTGTGCAGGCAGGTAATGACAACCAGTCAAGCGATAATGTGTCTCTCACTGTTCTGTTAGGAATGTTACTTTGAAAATGGTAAGCAGTCATCCTCCTTTTTATTTCACAGGGTGCTTAGAAATTGGGATTGTATGTYGAGATTTTCCAAGGAGCCAAAAAGCATGACCAAAATCTTTGGTTTTTGTAGGCAGTTGAACTCTGTGAGGTTTGAAGTGTGCTCTTGCAGATAGTAAAGCAAAAAGAGTCTCTAGCAAGTAACCTGGAAAAAAAGCTTTCTACTTTTTGGGAAACTTATCTCTCTGTGTAAAGATGATAAATATAATTTTATAACAGTTTTTTTTTTATTTTAGTATTTTTGTGAGAGACAGTGCCTTAAAAGTTGCTTATTTAGTGTTTTAAATACCATTTGTGCAAGGTCTTATAGATCAGACAAAATTTTGACAACTGCATCCATGTTGACCCAGAGATACACATTTATCATACATTGACTAGGAATTCAGAAGTACTGATCCATACATTTGGGACTCCTGTTACAATCTAGAAACAGAGTGTGGAGACACTTTTTCTCTCCTCTTGCTCTACAGGGATGACTGCATGAAATGTTAACTTGCAATGACACTGTTTTCTAGCTGATTTCAATTGTTGGGGCTGTGCTGGCTTAACTTTTCTAAGCAAAGTGCAAGATTTATCTTAATGTAAAAATGAGACATTAATATTCACATTTATGTCAGTACATCCATGTCAAAATTAATTTTGCCTCCTCATGCAAATAGTTKGTGTTGATAAATCAGTTGTGCTTCAAGGTAAGTATCTAAAACAAATGTTTCTTTTTTTAATATACTGTAAATCAGAAAATTGGAGGTTGATTTGCTTCTACACAGTATTATGAATGTTTGCAGTTAATTGAACATTGTTTTCTGTGTTTAAGCTTAGACTCATATTTCATTTAAAGTTTGTGGGGGGTGGAGTTCTATTAATGAAGTGTGTAGTCTAAGGAAATGATATATAAATAGCTATTTTTTAATAATGTGAAGTTAAGTACTACATCAATTTAGGCTGACAGTCCTCCATAGTGTYTACAGAAAGACCTGAAATGAGAAGTGGTAATAGCATGTGTAATCACATGACTGAAGAAGTGATGACCCATTTTAGAAAATCTGTGAAATGGTAAAAGTAATATCTGACTATATCTTACAAGGCTGTTTTTAACTTAATACACTCAATTTAAATCTTTATCTTTAAAGAAATATTGCAATCTCTTGATTGAGAGATTGCAATATGAAATATTGCAATTTTCTTTGGAAATTAAGCTTGTTTTTATAAAATTTTGCTAGTTGTAGCTTGTGAGCTTCTTTTGATTGTCTTTTCAGCACAGCAAATACTGTCCTGAGGAGACTGGTACCATTTACTGCCTCCCTGGAGGTGTTGGCCTGGTTTTGGSCTGGTTTGGAGGGGGAAAAACCCAAGCAAACCAACAAACTGAAGAGGAGAGCCCTATCCAGCAAACACAAGTCTCCCTCCTTCCCCCAAMCTTGTCGAAGGATCTTTGTCTAAATAGTCATTCTGTATTCAGCTATAAAATTGCCTATTCTTTCATAGCTAAAGTACTTTTCCCTTGTCCATTCTGAATTGCAGTCTGTTTATTTCAGACTACATCTGAATTTTTTTTAATCATTCTGAAATCTAATCCTCTTCTCCAAAATATTTCAATCCCTGAGACTTGATAGTATGTTTGATTGACTATAGATCAGATCTGCCAAATTCATCTTTCATTAATGAAAAGAGTGAATGGTGTGAAAGTAGTCTAAATAGGCCCAAAATGCAGAATACTAATGTGAATTTCTGCATGATGATCTTAGTAAAATACAGTTTTGCTAGTGTATCTTCAAAAACTGATTTCTGAGCATGTTCTTCCAGAAGGTGTATTGAGACTGTTTTTCCTGAGCTGCTTATGAGACTGTTCAGGGAAATAYGATTTGACAAATGCAGCACTTTCTGTTTTTAAAGGGTGAGGTTTCAATTTAACTCAGTACTGAAAGGCTTTTATATGCTTGCGACATTTTTAAACATCTTTGCACTTTATTCTAGAAACATCTACCAAGCTTCTGTATTCTCTTTGTAKTCAGTGCTATCAAATATATCATTATTTAGCACATTGCTTTCATAAATGCAACCAGCATAAAACAGGGCAACAACTACCTCATATAGTATAGATTACTGTGATTGTGGTGAATACTATTTTTTCCTTACCAATTCTTGTTTTCCTCTCATCTGTTTACATTAATCTCCTTACATCTTCCTCTTTGGTTTATTTCTTATTTGTCTAGTATGTATTATATGCCAATGATTAAACTCAATCTTTTAATACAGAAAAATAACAAGAACAATCAGAAGAGGAAGAAATGGAAAAAGAATAGAGTACTATGTATTTTATGACTTGTGTTGAAATTCTTTACTGTTGCAAAGGGAGATTCTCTGGGCTAACAGAGCTTTCCTTGATAGTCAAGCAGATCTTTCATGCTATTCATATTTTAGATAGAAATGTGGTTTAATGTTGCCATATGTTGTTTGATAAAATTTCATATTGCATATCTTTAGAGAATATGTTCATATTTTCCTATGATGATTCTAGGTGTTAACATCTGACCTGGAAAACAGGGAGAAGCAGCAGGAAAAAATGCTGGACCAGCTAAAGGAGATACAGAATTGCTACAAGGCTTGTGAGAATGGACGTAGACAAACTGAACTCCATTCTGCTGAGTTAGCTCAACAGGTTGAAGAGAGTACTAAGGAAGCAGAACGGTATCTCACTGAATTCAAACATTCAGAGGCACTCAGGCTGGAGACTGAAAAAAAAAGAGAAGATTTGAAGGTGAGAGCACAGGAAACCATCCGCCAATGGAAGCTGAAGTGTAAGAAACTAGATCGTGCGATAGAAAAACAAAATGAAACTATCAATGAACTGATGGACAAGAATAGTCAGGTAAGATTGGTTCTTTTTTTTTTTTGTGCCCTTTCCTTTTGTTTTAGAAATGAAGATAAGGAGTTTATGCAAACCGTTTTATTAAATTGCTTTCCACTTTAAGTTCTGAGTTGCTTCTTTATATTTTTCAGAACATTTTATTTGAAAAATCAATTTGAAATATGATCTTGTAACATTTCTGAGTTTTTTATTTGTCTTTGTTCCTTATGGCAGGCCACTTATTCCTCTCTTTTCCCTCCTATAAATTTTCTCAGGAAAAACCATGGGTTTTTGGTTTTTGGCTTAGAAGAATTGCATTATTTGTTCAGCTTGTGACACTGTTTTAAAAACAAGCACTTACATCAATGCTAATGCTTATCATATTGTATCAGAATAGTGGTAGAAACCATCATTGTGTTGGCAGTGAATCTGTGGGTCTGTATTTTCCAGTGGCAGGGTCAAAAATTGCTTGTTCTTATAGTGACTAATATAGTGCTAAGCTCTAGCTGTGAGCTTCTATCTTAACTTAGAAGCTTGGCTGGTGCAGTCTATTGTATTGTATGGTTTTTGTTTTTATAGCACTGTACCCTCTTTTCATGTATTTTCTTGTGGCATTCATCCTGTTTAGGTTACTAAATCTGGTTGGAATGAGATGTYTCCATGCTCTGGTTTGTCTTACTCAAAGATTGAGGTTTTCAGGGGTTATATGGAATGCAGTATGGGATGTCTGTATTAATCTTRTGTTGTTTCTGATCCAGTAATCTCTTCTGAGACTGGTACATGAATATGAGGATGGTCAAAGCACAGGAGAAATCACAATGGGGCTATTGCAGAGTTGAAATTAATAAACTGTAGCAAATGTAAACAGTGATTCCTGGGGTTACTCTTCCTCTCCTGAATTGCCTATCATATTCCTTACTTTTTATAATTACTTCCTCTATCAATGTCCAACAATTCTTTCTACAGTAATCTTGTATTGGTTGGCCCTAATGCTTGTCTGGAGAAATAAGATTTTCAAGCATTTAAGAAGTTGATCTCTTGGCTGAGAAAATGGAGGTTGTAAGGAAAGGAAGAAAACCTGAATAATTCAGAAATCATATGTGTCTATCAAGTGGACAAATAAGAAGCAAAAAGTAGAAGCGAGTTATGAAGAAGAAGCAGTAGATCCCAAAAAGTTTGTGAAATTGCTGTTCATGTAAACATGTAAGCAGTGTTTGTAGAGGCACTTGATRGCCCTGTCCACATTGAAATTTTTTTAGTTACATAAGACTCCTTGATGTGGATTTTACCACTTTTTATGTGACAAATACATTCACATGCTAAATGCAGTCACTTTGGTTTAAGCTCCCTTTAAGAAATRCTGTCAGTATTTTTTTCTTGCTTTTGAAGTAATCATAGTCCTGCCAAAATTTTGAGGTAGTTGTTACTGGTGAAGAAAGTTTCTTTATTTGAAGATATGTATATAAAATAAACTTTGTGTCATTGTGGAGGAGAAAAATGTACAAATATTTCATGTTCTCAATGTAAAGTTGTAAACAGTTTACATATGGGGATATAATCAATCTAGATGCAACATTTAGCATAAACTTGAGGTAACTAGATGAACATAATTGAACTAGCTTTGAAATACACAACGTTGAGACAAAATTCTGTAAAAATAAATAACAAAAAAAGGAAGAAATGGCAGTCTGTTGTCCTTGATTTCTGTTAGATGACTTCAAAGGGGTGATGGAAAATTTACGAAATGGGATTGCAATCATAACTTGCAATTTTGAGATTTTCCAGATATTTGCAGACAATGGATTGGCTGCAAAAAGATTGTTTAGGTTTCATTTTTTTAGAGTTACTGGGATTATTTGATTAAAGTTTTGCCCATGTGGTTGTCTTTAAAATTGTTGGACAGTGGAATTTAGAAAGTCTTGTGTCTTTTGAAGTATGTTTTCTTTTAAGTATGGCATGCAGAAAGCATACTCAAAGCAAATCACTTGCGGATTTTTAGTCTGAAAGTTCACTGGAGTTTTGTTTTTGTTTGGTTTTGGTGGTTGTTTTTGTTTTTTTTTAGCCAAATCCTTCAAGTAAAATTACAAGACAATTTTAGAATCATCTTTTTGTTTGGTGGGAGGGTTTTTTTTCAGAAATAAACCATGATGGTCATCACTCCATGTCCTCAATTTATTATTTTTGTATTTTGCTTTGCATTGCTTATTCTTGATATAATTGCAATATAAAAAATAAAAAATAATTTTGTTATTTTTAACTGCACATTTTTAACCCTAATTGCCTTTTGGTTCTGGATTATTTCAAGTAATTTTACTATATCCATAAGAAATGTGTGTTGCTTGTGGAATTTATGAAAATGCTCAGTAAAATTTAGTATTGAATTTATTGAGTCAGTTTAAAGAATCTGATATATCAGAACAGATTGCCCAAACAGGTTGCATAGTCTCCCTCACTGGAGATATTCAGGAACCATCTGGATGGAGTCCTGTTCCATGTGTTCTAGGGTAACTCTGCTTGAGCAGGGAGATTGAAAGGACCACAGTGGGTCATCTGGTCCAAGCTTACATATTCTGTGATTCTGTGGTATTTTTAACATGAAATATATCAGTATTGGAAAAAAACACCCAAACCCTTAAGATCCTTAGGAAAACAGTGGAATTTTTATTACATAKGACTGACTTTTATTTGGGAGATGATACAGTTTTTTCTTGGTTTTGGTGCATAACTGAACCAAGCTGCTATTAATTAATCTACTGTGCTTAGTTTGGAAAAAAAAGTTCAAGTTACTTCTTATGTAATAGTTTAGAAAAGAAGCAAAATAAGTCAGTATATGGAATGGACTGTAGGTAAGGTGTATGTGTCCAGTAGTACTCCCTGCATGCTGCTGCATTACTGTATTGCATCACTTTTTGTCTTGCTGTTTGGAGGAGCCAGTAAAGGAACACTTCTCAATCTGCAAAGAGAGTGTGAGAAGCGGGGAATTAAACGAAATTATCCCTACTTAGAAGGTTAGAAAATTTAAGGACAAGTCCAAGTTTGAGATTGCACAGGATCTGTGTCTAAATTKAAAGAAACACCTGAGTATGTTTGAACCGAGTTCATAGCAATCRAAAATTTTGTGTTTTGACATACCTATGTTAATTGTTCCTTAGACACATTCCTAATGTCTAGGGATATCCTTCCAACAACTACCTTTAATTACTTCAGTTTACAATGGATTTTTCTCTCCTCTTTCCTAGGCCCTCAAGGAAAAGGATGATCTCAAAAGTCAGCTTCTCTCAGCTATAAACCAAATAGAAAACTTGCGGAAAGAGCTGAATGATGTGCTTACAAAGAGAGCCCAGCAGGAAGAACTCCTCCACCATAAAGAGGTAAAACTGAATGAAATGGAGTCACACCAGGTATCTCTTGAAGAAGAGATCAAAGAAGTTCAAGGTACTGTAAAAAAAYTGGAGAATGAGTTGAAAAAGCAAGTCTTTCTACAAAATCAAATGCAATCTGAGAAAGAACACTTGAAGAAAGAACTTGGAAGTATTAACTTGTTCCATAAAAAAGACCAAGAACGACTGCTAGAGATGCAAGCAGATGTAAAAAATTTAAGTGCTGTACGTGTGGAACTAACAAACAGACTAGCAGAAGAGGAGAAAGCCAAAAAGGAATTACTTAAGAGCCTCTCAGATCTCCAGAAACAGCAGGARTCTAGTCATGAAGAGATGACTTCAGCTAACAGGCAGCTGAAGATGGAAAGAGAAGTTCACCAACGGGAGTTGGCAGATCTCAGATCAGAGTTACAAAATATGAAAATCAAACATGAACAAAATGTTCAAGAACTCATGAAACTCTTAAAACAAGAAAAGGATAATGCAGAGGCTCAAATTAGAATGCTAAAGGTACTTATTGTGAAGAATTCCAATGTCAGACTTCCCCCTCCTCCCACATACCCCACACACAGCCCCTGCCATTGAATGATGAAGGTAATAAAGCACTTAACCCACATTTTATTGCAGGCCATACTAAAAGTTTAAAGTTCAGGGTAAAAAATGTACAGTATCAGTTTTGGATCAAAATCTTAGTTCAAAGGTATWGAAATAGGTATGTCTGTCATCACAATAAAAGGAAATATATGATGCTGTAATGTTTTAATATGGCAATCAGGTGAAGTCCCAGATGACTGGAAAGAGGGAAGCATTGTAGCCATTTTGAGAAAGGAGGACTCTGGGCACTACTGACCTGTCAGCCTCATCTCTGTTCTTGGGAAGATCATGGAACAAATCCTCCCAGAAGCTATGCTAAGRCACATGGAAAACAGGGAGGTGATTTGGGACAGCCAGCACAGCTTCATCAAGGRTCAGTCCTGTCTGACCAAGCTGGTGGCCTTCTCTGATGCAGTGATGACATCAGGGGACAAGGGAAGGGTTATGGATGTCATTTTTYTGGACTTCTGTAAAGCCTTGGGCATGGTGCCCCACAACATCCTTCTCTCTAAATTGGAAAGAGATRGATTTGATGRGTGGACTGTTAGATAGATAAGAATTAGCTGAATGGTCACATTCAGAGGGTTCTGGTCAACAGCTCAGAGTCCAKATGGGGTCCTGATGTATAACAATGAAAAGTGGTGTACAGGGATCTCTGTTGGGACTAGTGTTCAGTTATTTAATATATSATCCATGGCTTAATAACTGACAGTAATTTTTAAGCAGCTGGTAACACAGAAACCCTTCAGTGAAGATAGCAATAAAAAACCCTAGGTGGTTGTTAGTAAAATATCATTAAAATCAAATCTATTGACTGCAGTGCTTAACATTGGGCACTTAATTTTTAGTACGTATAGTGTTATTTAAGTGGGCTGTTCAAACATATTTTTTTCTTTGGCARCGACATTGAAATTAAGAGTGTAAATTTGATATCAAGGAGAGAGAAGAAAAATGTATTCTGGATGCTAATAAGAAAAAAAATAAGTTGATCATGACTGTTCTTTTATGAAATGGCAAATCCTACAGTTAGGACCTTTTCATTGTAACTGATTGTTGAACCTAAACAGAATATAAAAAAAATCGCTTCTGTATTTTATATACAGTTCCATGACATTCCCAGAATTCTAARTCTACATGTATTTTTAAGAGCAGAAGGTTTGAGGGAAATGAATTTTCTAAGATATTAGGGTAGGCAACTTTAGAAGTATACAGAATGACAATGCACAAAATTCTCTTGATTGAGAGACTGTAAATGAAGCTAAATAGGAAATCATATCCATCTCTAGGAAGGTCTGATGAAAACATGCCATCCTACAGGTGATTTGTTTACTTTTTGTCTGAACTCATCATTACATTGCATTTGGATTTCAGTTTTATGGGCATACTTTTCTTCCAAATTAAGATAAACTTAACATGCATTTTAGCATTTTCCTTTTTGTTTTTATATTTTATTGTTTTGGTATTAGCGCAGTGTTTAGGGAAATCCAACATAAAAAGTTGGGGATTTTTTTTACTGATTCTTCCTGTTTTTGTTTTTTTTTTTTTATCAAGCTGCTAAGATTTGATACCTAGCAACCAGGCGCCTTTTACTGTTACAGTAATAATCGACCTTATTTATGCTTCAGCTATGTCCAGCCTTTGTAACTGTTTTTGGAAAAGAATCTACATGACCCTGTCCAAAGATAGTTAAAGCTTTAAAAATAAAGTTCAGTTGAGCGAGACTTGAGCAGTAAAGGGAAGTTTAATATATTAGTAGGATCTGAGCCTTAAATTTAAAAGAGGATGCATTTATGAGTTACTTCCAGGAAGTCAAGGGTACGGAGTCCTGTGTTTGGAGGACTAACTGCTGCATAGATTGTAAAAAGAAGTGACTTTCGATTCATGTTGTTCTTTTCTCTCTTGCCTCCTTTGCCTGGTACTTTCTGCCTCACTTTTGGCTTGTTTTCTGTAGTGTGGCACTGTATTGAAAAATTATTAGRTAGTTAAGTACTTTTTTGTAGTAGTAGGATAGTAGTGGGATAGTAGGGAAGGTACCATAAAAATATTGTATGATGCAATAGAACTGGAGAACATGAAGTTTTTTGAGATACCGGTGTTAAGAAGGTTCTTAMTGTCTCTTTACTGAGATTCTGGTGCTTAAGCTTTTAATTCTGCTTCAGCTGGAGCATCCTAAATTATTTCCAACCAATGCCTCTATGATGTCCTATTTATTATTTAAACTTATAGGTACACTAGGCATAGGACTTCAAGTGGTTTGCTTAGTGGTCCCCATTCAGGTATGTGTTCAGAAGCTCTGGATCTGTCCCCTAATTTTAATACATACCTATACATATGTGCTTTAAAAACATCCTTGTTTTCTAAGAATGATAACATACAAAATGTCCTAATGCCTGGCAGAATGGAAGTATTTGAGTATTTATCTTTAAGGTTATATAGAGATATGTGTCTACACATATAAAATTGTGTATATGAGTGTATTTCTTCTAAAATTGTTTTCTATGCATCTTCCTAGTGTGCAGTCCTTTATTCCCTGAAGACTATTAAATATGGAATTTGGGTTCAATAAAGATCAATTAAATTAGAGTAGTATCTGCCTTGTCCATACTGGAAATTAATAAAAATTAGCTTTCCGTTTTGTGCCTCAAGTGTAATATAAGTGAGGGATTTTTTTCTTGGGTTGTCTCCATCTGCAAAGACATTATAATGCAATTTCCTTTAGAAGGAACTGAAAAGTTGCTTTTTATAAGCATATTCACAGATAATATTATGGGCACTGCAAGCTTGTCTTTGTGGTCATAAGTCTTTGTAGACTCTGTATGCCAAAGTTCTTTCTCAAATTGTCCTTTGGAAGAGTTTTTGTAATTGTTAGATTTGGTGTCTAAATTAACACATAAAACTTCTCTCCTTACCCTTCTTCCTCATAGAAGTTATATTTAGAGTCTAAGTGGGAAATAGAATTTTTTCTTTTCCTCAGAAAGTAATTTACTTTGCAGGTTTATTTTTGCATTTAACTGCATCTCACAATTTATCTACTGTTTTTGAGTAATACATGTGTTAACTTGTTTCTTTGTTGYGTGTATTCTTTTTAAACTTTCTGTAAGTTGTAGGGAATTTCTCAAATCTTTCACTTTAATGGGAAACAAATATGCATTAATTACTCACTCTTTTGGGGCTTTCTAAGCCCTTACGTGTTTTCTTCATTTTTCTCTGCAGTGTTTTCATGTAGCATTGCTTGCACACAGTAATAACATCCCACATAATTCTATGACTAAAAAATACTAAATCTTTGCAGTTGTTTCCTTGCAKATGTAAATTTAGTATTAGTTCCTGAAATGAAATGATAGTTTTAGACTTTCTGTTTCCAACTTATTTCAGTAATGGAAAAGTTGCATAAATCCTAGGCTTCTCAGGATGATGTAAGCTGATGAGTGTAGCAGAGCTGAAATGAAGAATCTGAGACTTGTATTTTCTGCTTTTAAAGCACTGTGTGGTTCTACAACTCTGTGATACATGTTTTCCATGTTCAGAAAAGTGACTGCACTTAGCATAACTTAATTTTTTTACATTTATCATTTGGTAATAGCGTTCCACTGATTTAAAATTTTAGAGTCYGGTTGTGTTTTAAAATAACCCCTACAGTGACTTTGTAATCTGTTTTTCCTTTACCATCAGATGGAACTTTCAGAAGAGAAAAACATAGTTAAATCTCAGTGTCGACAGCTGGAAAAGGCAAAAGTTGAATGTGATAAATTGACAGAAGAATTAACCCAAAATGAAGAAGAAAATATAAAACTAAAACGGAAATGTGAGCTTGTAAAGGAAGAACTGGAGAAAAAGGTAAAGTTAACTGATTTTAACCGTGATTCATTGGTCTCTCTGCTGATTAAAACCTAAAATAAATGATAGATTATAGAAATAGATGGAAAACTTAAAAAGCTCAACATGTATGTATTAAAGAATATAGTCAATCATACCATAGTACACAGTTTCTATATAAATGAAAGAAGACAAGTGAATGAAAGTGCTTTGACTGGGTTATGAACTGTATCCCTCCAAAAATTTGCTAATATTATTTAGGACTAGAAATATAAATCCTGTTGCTTGCCTGATCTCTAATGTAGGTAAGTAACAAATGTTTAACCAACCATTTCTAGTTTTTTTCATATTTTTCTTCAAGATGCAGTGCAGCTATGAATAATTTAAAGATAATTTGAGGTAGATATGCAATGTAATAGTAAAAATCAAGCAAATAACAAAAAAATAAAGTTACTTATTCTGTTTTAGTCATGGTCTTTGAGAATGAACTTTGATGCAAGATGGACTGCGTTCAGTGAATAGCAAAATAACAGAATACAGATACTGGAAATATATATARTGCAATATGAATACTTTCAGAATAGTGATCTAGGTCAGAGCTGTTATTTCAGCTCCCATCTTTATAGTACAGAAATACTGGAAACGTACGTAATATTATAAAAATATATAATACTGCATCTTAAGAAAACAGTAGTGATTTCTTCAGTTTGAAATCACTACTGTCTAACTCAAGGACTTCTGTGTTAATTAAATGAAAAAATCAGACTGCTTATCAAATATGGKTTTTTCACAGTTGTAGGCTGCTACATTAAAAACACCTATTTTGCTAATAGAAGTAACACTTTGTACATATATATGTATACAACATCGTGAAAGAAGGTACCAAGGTGGGTGTTGGTCTCTTCTCCCAAATAGCAAGTGATAGGACAAGAGCAAATAGCCTGAAGCTGTGTCAGGAGAAATTTAGATTGGATATTAGGAAAAATTTATTTGCAMAGGCTGCCCAGGGAAGTGGTTGAGTCACCATCTCTGCAGGTATTCAAAAGACATGTAGATGGTGTTCAGGCACATGGTTTGGTGGTGGACTTGGCAGTGTGGGGTTTGCAGTTGGACTCTAAGATCATTGAGTACTTTTCCAACATAAATGATTCTATGACTCCATATATATACCATTCACAGAACTTGTATATTAGACAATACCTAACTCCACACTGGTGCCTCATASGAGCAGTGTATGAAGCTTTCCAACAAATACACCTGCAACAGTTGTACCTTGTCATTGTGGAAGTCCACAATGAATTTGTGAAATTCTTGGTTTTCTCACCTTTCTTAGTGCAACTTGCACATGCTGGAATGTGCCTATTAAAAATGYTTACATCTGCATTACATCTACCTTATCTCAGCAACAGATAGGTGTCAATTGTGTTTCAATTTCAGTTTTTCTCACAAGACCAGATCTTTTTATGTTGATTACTATGCATAATTTAATTTTTGCATAATCCTGCAGCAGCTTTGTTCAGTTTTACATTGTGGCTATATCATAGATATAAAAGAAGAGAATCTGATTTTTAAAAACGTGTAACATATTTAATCAACTTTCTGCCATTAGATGATAACATAACATAAAATGCTTCCCTCAGTGCCATTTACTCTCTTATGAGATATTCTTTGAGTAGTTTTCCTTTGAGGGCACACTGACTGCCAATGAAATTTCCCTTCTGGGATCTCTTTTCTGATGATAGAGATAAGATGCCTGTAACTGATTAAGGGCAAAAGATGATAAGGGGAGTGTTTGCTCTGGACTTGTTTTCTGCTTATGAGGAGATTTGTAATAGAACATTTATTTTTGATTTCAAAAATAGGCTTTATGATTGCTGAGTTTGGATTTGGTAGCAGTTTCTTCATAACTGATTTACAGGATAATATGGGAATCAAGGGAGGAACTTACAAGTGCTATTAGCAGGTATTATTTTTCTATGGCAAGGAATTAAACTTTGCATGACAGAGTATGGGGTGATTATAAGATTGAAAGATCTATTGCTAATGACATATGTTGTATTATTAATGCAATAATTTCTCTTTGTTTTGTTTTTCCTCTTTCACTCCAGGAAAAACAGATCAGCAATGAAGATCATTTGAGAAAGATGAGTGAGGCCAGACTGCAATTTAAAGATCAGCTGCATCACTTAGAAATGGAACAACAATCCATTCTGTCCATGATAGGAAGTGAAATTGATGCTGCTTGTGAAGTCTTTTCTCGGGACTCCATGGAGAAATTCAAAGTAACTCTTAAGTTTTAAGAATGCTGCAGGTTTTGTTATTTTCTTAATTAAAGTTTGTAGTGGAACTTGTATGCATTGTTGTAATTATTGTATAGGTAATTATTCTAATAGAATTATGGATATTTAGCTGGTACAGAGGGCTGGGTATTTGAATGGGATACTATGAACCATTATGCATTAATCGGTACTGCTTTCTTTTGCCATATTTTTTCTTTTTTTTTTTGGTGAGAAATAGTTCTCCTTTTGCTTGTGTGAAAGGACCTTTTATCAGCCAAAATTTTGAGGTGGGTTTTCCTGGGCCACATTCCTACAGCTGGGAAGTCCCCAAGAGAGACCTAATGTGCCTTTAAAATTGTGAGAAAAGGAAAGAGAGGTTTTGTTAACAAATCACTTGGATGCTTTGCTTTTTTATGTAGAGAACTGAATACTGAAAATAAAAAGAGTTTATAACCTCCTCTTTTAAGGAGCAAGTCCTTATATCCAGAAAGCTCAGACTCAAATTTTCAGGAAACTGGTAACTTGCTGTAACTTTTTTTTCACTATTTTACTACTTCTTCTGCAAACCCAGTCTCCTTGTAGCATTTCTTCTGACCATTTGCCCAGGTACAGAAATCTCTCTTCCTCCCTCCATACGATTCTACATGACTAATCCTCCTTAGTCAACATAGTACATTTCTGAGAATAAAGAGAACGGACTGTCTGGCTCAGCTTGTTGCCACACTCACAAGTGCTTGACCTGGTAGCTTTTTAGCCTTAACTGTTACCTGAGAGTACACTCAGATTACATCTTTTTTTGTCTTGCTATTTAAACAGAGGGTACTTTGTAGTTCCTGGTCACTTGACTGGACTGGACTGCTTTTGAAATAGGAATTTTTCATGATTGACACCATTTCTCCACTTACATATGGAGCTGGGATGTTGCAGCATAAAACTAGATAAGAATTCTTAGAAAATGTATTTGACAAACAAGCTTTCTCCTCCATATCCTTACAGATAGGTMTTTTTCTTTATGAAGGCTTTGTGACCTGCTGTAATTGCCAGATTCTTGATCACTGAGCCATGCCTTCTTAGACTTGCTTCTCACCCCATGCAGAGTTTTTGGTTTCTGGATAAAGTTTTGCAGATCCCTGTTTACACAGTTCTCCTTATTTCTTCATGRCTGGCTCAGACTTAAACCAGTTCTGAATGTGAATTTTTGACTAGACAGCTAATGTGGAAGAAAGATAGTTTTGTGGTCCTGGTATGATTTTTTTTTTAAAGGTAAGGAGCTTCCTTTGTTTTATTGTTTCTCTGCTCAGTACTTTAGGTACTGCCTAAGTTTCTGAGAAGTTTCACCCTTTAGTTTACTAAGTTGCCAGTGCAACTGGAGTGAACAAGGATGAATTTGATGGATAAATACTTGTATTCAGACAGGTCAAAGAATAGGCTTAATCTTCTCTGACAAAAATGTATTTTTTGATCARTTTACTGTGAGCAGAAAAGACTTTGTCCTTTCTATGTCTAATTCCCACTTTATGTCTGTTTGTCTCCCTCTTCTCTGTAGGCAATATCCCTTACACCAACAGCACAGAATGATCCTCATCTCTGGTTAGCAGAAGCAAAGGTAATAGTCAAACCTCCTGGAATTTTACTGAGTAAGCTAATATCCAACTTTTGAGCAACATGCTGTAGTGGGAGGTATCCCTGCACATGGTAGGTTGTTGGAACTAGATGATCTTTAAGGTCCTTTTCAGCCCTAACAATTGAATGAGTGGGTGAGTCTGTGAATTGGTGGAGCTGATTCAGTTTAATGTACATTTCATATGGCACTGAAAGGATAAAAGGAAAAATACAAAAGCCTTCCTTTGGCAATAATTGTGATATTCCCAGACTTATCTCAACTGATAGAATAATTTTCCAAATTTTCCTGTCAACAAGAAATAGCCACCTCTGTAGCAAAACAAATAGCAGTGTTGTTTTCACAAAAAAAAGGCATTGAAGTAAGAACAGTGATAGCCTTTAGATCTGGTTCAAATTTTTTCAGACAAGGAAAGCAAGAAAATGTAGTTAGCAGGCTAATTTTCTCTTACAAGAAGTTCTCTTATACAACAAGAAATTATTTTTAAAAAGGCAGTTATTTATTAAATCTAAAAGATATTAGGTTGGATTCTTRGAAAATGAACAATTTTTCTTTCCCCTTTGAAGCTTTCAAATCCTATACTGTGGGGGCACACATGCTTGAAAACATCTTCAAGGTGATAACTGGTAATTCATAAATCTTGCCTCTCATTTTGTGGCTTTCMTCCAGCTCCCTCAACTCACACACATAAACACATTTCTTACAGAATATCTTATAAAAGAAGTAAGTTTCTCATGATCAAATAGGTCACAAAGTCGAAAATAACCAATGTTTTTGCTTCATGTCAAAAGTTTAAAGCCACAGGAGAACTGACTTAAAGAAAAAAAATTGCAAATGTTTGCATGTAAGAGAAGGTTATTCMTAGTGTGTGGTCTGTGTAAGATTTGCAGACCAAGAAAGAATACCACTATAGATAACAGAGATAAGACTGGAATCAAAGGAGGAATGTCATGCAGGAAGTATTTTCTTCATTTAAAAAGGAGACACTGACATATTATTAAAAAGAACTTTCAAAGATCACCTAAAATCTTTTGCATACATTTCTCACCTAAGTTTGTTTAGATGCTACAGGGAAGATTAGAATGAATGACTACTTAAAATGCCACTTCTGCTCTCTTTTGTTTTTAAAAAGACAATGTGAAGTGTTCCATTTGATCACTTCTAGATTTCCTATATTGATCACAACCTTATCAATGAGATCTTTTTCTCCTCTGCGTGAACCTTAAATATTGACTTTTGCTGACTGGATAGGATAGGTTTCACTTTTTTAGAAAGGATAAATGCTTTAAATTCTGTCAACACAAACAGAGAGAAAAAGGTATTCTGAAAGGAAGGAGTATCTCTTGGTATCCATGTGTGCACTAATTAATGTGACTTTCCAAATCTACCCTACCAAATTCATGCTTCTGATTTAAAAAGAAATAAAATAACATGAAAGAAAATCATTATATTGCTTTTCATAAAATTATCAACCAAAATATGTCCTTTGAGTCTCTTGAATGTCAACATATGTTCTTTTAATATATCTAATGTCCCCTTTTAATATTATTATTCAGATAGCTACAAATGAATAATATGTGACTCYGAAGATGATTTGGTCATTGAACATTTATTTTCTGTTATTTTCATTAGAATTCTTTACTTTTTATTGTACCATTTTTTAAATGTAGACTAAGCTTCAGTGGCTGTGTGCAGAGGTAAAGGAAAGAGAAAGTAAGGAGAAAAAGCTTCGATGCTACTTACTGCAAAGCCGAGAACAGCTCAAGCACTTTACACAGATGAAGGAGACTGAACATCAGTCTCTCTTTAAACAGATAAAAAAACAAGAAAAACTTTTGGAAGAAGTTCACAGAGAAAAAAGAGGTATGTTACTCATTCAATTTTTGTTAATAAAAGGGAGAAAGAATTTAAAATTCTATAAATTATAATTTCTATGGCACATTCAGATGTATTTTATCACTTTGTTATTGCAAACTGCAATATGCTAATGAAAACCAAGAAAAATATTAGGTTTGTGGCAAAATAAACCCTGCTGACAAAAAAGGCAAATGCAATAGACTGTGTTTCAACCCAGTACAGTGGCAGAATAACACACAAGTTTACATCATGCACAGTGGATATAGAAATTATTTCCCAGCTGTACCATCTGAGACATTGCACAACCCGGGCAAAAAGGGATTATACAAGAGTCTGAGGCAGTCTGAGTTAGACTGCTGTTTGCATAGCTCACTTTGTCATGGTATGATTTTTCGTTGTCTTCTATTCCCTTCGTGTGGAAAGAAAGGTGTCACTTTTTAGGTTTCCTTCAGGAATCTTGTTCTGGCCTTTTTTTCAGAACTCTGTGCTCATGTAATTGTACAGAATAAATATTCTCTTTAATTATTTTGTTAGTTGTCATTTAATGCTGATTGATGTAGATTCAGATAACTTTTAATAAGTGCAGTTACAGCTTCTAGTAGCTGACTTATTATTGAAAATGTTTTGTGAAATGTAGCAAAACCAAAACTGCCTGGTTTTGGCTTGAACAAAGTTAATTCTTTTTCTAGTGGCTGAAACACACTGTGTTTTCGATTTAGTCTGATAGTAATGTTGATAACACACTGATGATTTAGTTGTTGCACCCTAAGTCAAGGMCTWTTCAGTTTTCCRTGCTCTGATAGTGAGCACGTGCATGAATAGCTGCAAGGGAGCCTAGCCAGGCCAGGGGAGCTGGCCAAAGGGATATTCCATACATTAGAACATTATCTCTGATATATAAACACAGGCAGTTGTCTGGGAGGAACCAATCACATCTGGAGCAGGAGCTGGACATTACTCAGTGGTGACCAATGGTATTGTACATCACTTGGGGTTTTTTGTTTTTATTTCTGTCTTTTCCCTTTTCATTACAATTGTGTTATTTTTATTTTATATTTTAAAAAAATTATTATTTTGTTTTACTTGGTCAGTTCTTAAACTGTTTTTGTCTAATCCCACRGATTTTAGCTGCTTTCTGATTCTCCTCTCCATTTCACCAACAGGATGTATGTGTGAGCAGGTGGCTTTATGGTACTTAGCTGCCAGCTGGGGTTAAAGCACCACCACAACAGCAATAACAGATAAAAACATTATTGTAAATATTTAATAGAACAATGCAGGTTATTTGTTTCAAAAGAATTGGAMGATTCTGTCAATATTTTCTTCTGCTTAGAAAGAACTTTGAAAGAGAAYGTGCTTTGGTGTTTCAAGCTTGAATGTTTCTATTGCTGTCCTTCATTTGTTTAAAAAGATGGCACACAGACACTTATATGACATTAATAGTGCTTYAATGTTTTTATTTTGGATAATTACTTGCTAAGATGGTCTCCCTGAAGCCTTATTTGTCTTTTCAATACAAATACATAGGAGATTAAGCAAACCTTACTTGGTGCTCAATTCTGTTGTACTTATTTGGTTTAGACTTTATGGAACAATTCACAGCCTACATTTAAATTTTAAACTGTAGGCCAAGTTATTATGGGTAATTATTAACTGAAAAGAGTGGTAAGAAGTAATGCTGTTCACTGGGCACAAAAGTAGTATGTAATCTTATACGTTCTATTTATAAGAGACATTTATTTTTTTCCCCCAAGTATGCTCAGTTCCTTTTGTTGTTACTTCAACTACTAYTACTTATGCAGTGGTCATCTCCTCTGTCTACTCTAGAGATGGATGCTGGTTAAAAGTAGGTAAGAAAAAGGAAGTAACTGTTACATAGTTTTTAAAGTTTTCTATGTAGCAGAAAACAGCAGACATTCTTTAAAATTCCACAAAATACAGGATGAGAAATAGGGCTTGCAAGAAGATAACAGGGTGCTGACAATGCAGGCTAGTGTTAGGTTTAAAGCCTGGGATCAGGATACACACAGAGGATCTGAGGATCCATGGTGACATGGGTTTGAAGATAACAACAGCAGAAGATGGGTAATTTTGACCTCTGTTGGTGGATTTTCCCAAGTATCCTCCTTGCTGTCTTCACTTAAAAACATTCATGAAACATTAATTTTTGTTTTGAATTTTCTTTCTAATTTAAGTAGTGGTAATTTACTGTTTTATGGGGAAATAGGGAGTCAGGAGTGTGTTCATGAGCAACCTCAAGCACCTTACTGTCTCTTTACACTCAATGTTTTTTTTAATGAAATATGATTTGAAACCTGGTCATAGGTTTCAAATGAGGTGGTAGGGTGGTGGTTGGTAGGGTGTTTTTTTATGTGCTATTTTATGGGGTGGTTTTTGTTTTTGTTTTTTTTTGTTTGTTTTTTTGGGTTTTATTTTGTTTGTTCTTTGTGGTTTTCTTTTTGTGGGGGGTTTTTTTGGTTTGTTTTTTATTTTTTTTTTTTTGGTTTTGTGGGGTTTTTTTGGTTTTTTTTGCTTCTTTGTTTTTGGACACTGCTATGAAAATAGTGTTGGAGAGGTGCAGGTACTTCCAATTACAAAGCCAATTATTTATATACACAATTAAAAAAAGTCTTCATGTCTATAAATTTATGATTCACTTTGTCATATTTCAGTTTGATTAGATCTGATAGTCAGCAGGTTTTGTGCATACAGATGAAGTTATCATGGTTTGGCCCAGTACCAGTGTGTTTCTTTAGCTTTAGCCCTTGGTGTCACAGGCCTTCCAGCAGTCTGCTCTTAACAGTATTCAAGAATTTACTAATTCAGTAAATGTTCATTCTAATGAGATGTAGGGGTATAAAATACATCTGAACCTAACTTTCTGGTGTGTTATTAATTTGAAATGTAGTTTATAGTTATCAAATTACTGGTAGATGTAACAAGCCACAGTGTAGCTGTAACCTGTATGGTGTTCATCATGGGACTATGCAGGGAAGTACYGATGTGATGATTAAATATAAAAACTATAAATTCAAGTAAGGAATGTCCTCTGAGTGACAAAGGGAGAGTTCGTACTGTTTTAGAGATGTTGATCTGATCTCACTTTGCTTCATGAGTGGGTTTAGTATGAAGAGTAGGAATATGATAATAAAAATGAGCCTTAAAAAATTTGGTAGCTTTTTTGGTGTGCAAAATGGAATAGCATCACAATAGTTTAATTTCATTTACCTGATGCCAAGGAAGGAAATTTTATGTATTATTTRTTTTACTGCTTTTAAACTAATTTTGAATTTGAAGCCTGAGTCAGAAATCCATAATAATGTTTACAATCAGTGAACAAAACTCAGAGAGCTTTTTATTAGTGCACTAAAAGGCAGGTTGACTTGGTATTCTATATAATTTTCTCGAGCTGCTGAATTAAATGRCAGCACATATGACTGTGTATGCAAGATAATGGAGTTACAATCTTCATGTGAATTTAATTGGTTTTTTTTGTAGTCATGTCAACTTAAATTGTTCTTTTTTATTTGAAAATTATGTCTTCATTACTCCAGATCATTTTAAATTGTAGAAGATAGAGAAATAATGGAATGTATATCTGTTCATATGAGTTTTGAGTACTATTGTTCATCAAGTAATACATTTAAATGTTTAAAAAGGCTTTTTTATTTTAAAAGAAGGGTGCAAGACAAAATYGGACTGTTTTTATTTCTTGAAAAAATACTCCTACGTACTGAATGAAAAGCCCATCCTTAATTACGATGCAAGTAGTAGAATGTAAACATGTAAATAATTTAATGGATAAATGACTTGGACATGAAAATTGGAAAAGGTACTTTCCCAAAGGGAAAAAGGAAGACACGGCTAATAGTGTAAAAAAGGTGTTAATCCAAATGGAGAAAGCAATCCCTGAAAACTATAAAAAAAATAAATTAAGGATACAGAATGCTCGTTGGCCTTTGTTACTTAAACATAAAAAATGGGAGTACTTCCAGAATACTAAGACACTCAGTAATGAAATTCTGGGCTAATTCCAGGTGCAAGAACAAAGCAAATGAAGGTAGAATGTATTTAATTGGTTAAACAAGCCCTTCACTTTTTTTAAAACTGTAAAGTAGTATCATTTACAATGTTGCTAAATAAAATAGATATTGAGACAGATTTGATCAAATGGATAAAAATTATTTTCTGTTGCATTTGGAATGATTTTAGATGTGKCATTTTGTCAGATTTTATCAGATATTATGAATATCCATGAATGTCCATGGGTGTGGCTGACTRTCCCCACCGAGACAAACCACTTGTCTGAGTAGTACCTGACATAGTCTGAAAATACTCCATTAATTTAAGTTCACATAAATCAAAAGTAATGAAAATGAGATAGAGAAATTGTGTTCTCAATAAATTAATTGGTTAACTTCCTTTCAGTGGATCTGCTATTATAATTTATTGATGGGTTTTTTTGGGGAGAAAGAATGAAAATGGGTATTTATGGTGGACATACCAAAAGTAGGTAGGATGAMTATTTAAAAACTGCTTTATAGATGAACACATTTAAGGAAGTTTTATAAGCTTAAATAGCTTAAGCATTTAACTATGCATTTTTGGTCTTTTCCTTTCATCAGAACATTTGTAAATATCTTAATATATTGTAGGCTTTTGGATACTCCTTATGAATCTCTGTAGAACTGTTTAATATTATCACTGTTTAATATTATCACAGTGGTACCTGTGGTGGTATAAACTGGCTGTCCATGTGGTATAATCCTTACAAATATAAGTAAGCTAACATAGAGATTCATGAATGAGAGAATAGAGAATGAAAGAAAATACACTTGTGACACACAGTCAGGATTGTTTATGGAGTAACAGAAATTTTGTAGTTATCTGGTGATGATTCAAGATCAGCTACAGTTGTCTTCCCTTCTTGGTAAGAGTATTGTGCCGGAGAGTTTAGAAATTCTGAAGGATTTTAAAATACAGAAGAACTGAAGAGGATGTGAATT